CGAGTCAGGAAAGCAGGGTAGCTTTACATTCTCCAATAGAAGTTGCAAATGCTTTCCAACAAAAAAAAAAGTAAGAAAAAATAATAAAAAGAGAAATAAAGGATCCTAAGTTTCTGAAGAAAGAGCAGGTGAAGGGTCCTGCAATGCAGTTACTGTAGCTTCAACAGTAGGAACAGAAGAAGAGCTCGGTAGCTCAGCAGGCGACCCTTCTGGCAAGGCAGCAGTTGAAATCTGAGAGGGGCCAAGAACAGGCAAGAAGGCAGGGGCCTCAATCTCAGTCAGAGCTCTCGTTACCAGGTCAGCAGAAAAGGAGGAAGCTACAGAAAGCTCAGCAATCCTAGGAACAGAAACGTCTGAAAGGCAGGGACATTCTGAGTTGGGATCTCAGCAGGTGGGATGAGCTCTTCAGAATCCTTAGGAACCTCCTCAAAAGCAAGAGGAGAAAGGGCATCGTCCTCCTCTTCCTAGGACACCTTGGCCTCTGCCTCGGTAGGGATTGCAAAGTCAAAATCCAGGTCGGGATATGTCTTTTCAATTGTGCGCTGGAAAGCAATCCACCCTCTGGCCCACCTGGTAAGAATGTCATCCATCAACTGGGCGATTAGTTCATTCTTCTCTTGAACAGTTGTTGCCCGCACCTCCAACTCCTCCCTAATGGCATCGTTCGCCTCTACTAACGCTTCATACTCCCTCTTCATGCCTCTAAATGAAGCCAGAGCCTCAAGGACTCCTGGCTAGCCTTGATCCACTCGTCAGTCTTCAGCTGGAGGTCTTCCTTAGTTTTACAAAGCTCCTCTTTGGTGGTCTTGACAAGGGAGGTCTGTCTCTCTACTTGTTCTCGTAGTTCCTAGACCTGGGCCTTAAGGTCATTATTTTCAAAGGCTAGCTCGACATTTTTGAGCTCAAACACCTTAGAAGCATTGACAGACCTCTCCAAAGCTTGGATTTGTTTCAGCAAGCCACTTATCTGGATGGCAGTCTAAAGACAAACACAATCCGAGAGTGAAGGTTAACACAAAGGAAACAACGCAAGACAAAAAAGAAGTTCAGCAAGTCAGAAGTTTACCGAGGTGCAGCCATATAGAACAGTGGAAATAGAAGTCCCCAGGGATATAGTGGCAGCTACTTGAATGTCAGACTCGGGATAATGGAGGCAATGGCCTCCGCAGCACTCTTCACGTTGGTCATGAGAGAGCTCTTGCCCTTAGATTTTGGAAGGTCCCCTTTGTCAATATGGGAGTCCTTGAGAAGAGATTGAGAAGACTCCTCAACTGGCACAGAAGCGATAAGGCCAGGAAGAATGCGAGAAGTATCCAACGCCCTCTCAACCTCGGACGAAGAAAGGGAGGTCAGACCCCGCTCTGAAGCATCTCCAGGAATGGGCTGGACCCCTTGGGGAAAGGAGGTTCCTGAGACTTGTGGAACGCACGGTTGGGATGTCGGTGACTTTTGGGTGGAAGCAGGGGTGGGGGAAACTCCCAACCTCTGGATTTTAGCTAGAGTAACAGGGTTTCCACCAGAACTGCCCCTAGCCTTATGTTTGCTACCACTCCTGCTCTTCTTCTTCAACTGTTCAACCCTAGCCTGAAGCTCTTCGGGGGTAGGTTTCATTGAAGAAAAACCTATAAACTTAAAAAGAACAAGTCAAGAAAGGAGAGAGCTAAAGGGCTGAGAAACAGCAAAAGAAACAAGTGCTACCTGTCATTCCCTCAGGGACAATGACGAAGATTGGGATAGGAGACTCGATCCTCATTCCGGGGGGGTCAAGTCCCTGCCCCCACAAGGACCCAAGGCTGAATAAGCTCTGAATATTTTCTCAAATCGCACTTCTCCAACTCCAGCAGCACCTACTCGTCCTCAGTACTGAGTTTAGGTCAAGAACCTGAAAAACAACGAAGGCAGGGCGGAGTAGTAAGGAAAGGAACCAAGTCTGAACTTAACCAGTTTGAGCAAGGACCCACCCAGATTGTCGGGGACAGACAAAGTTCTGGGGATTGGGAGAGTATCGGTCTTGTCTACAGGATTATACTCCCACCCTGTGCCACCCGCGTAGAAGAACTGTTTCCTCCAGCCCTTGTGAGAGCTTGGGAGGTCAGAAATAATCTGTTTGGCCTTTGTTCGCTTAGAGATGTACAGAATACCCTCAGAGGTAGTATACTTAATATTAAAAAGCTCCATTAGCAAGAAAATTGGGGGGACCCCAAGCTGGTGCTCCTTGAAGAATACAAGGAGACCCACTAAGACACCCCAGAAATTAGGCGAGAACTGAGCGGGGCAGACGTTAAAGTGTTGCAAAACACTCTTAACGAAGGGATGCACAGAAAAGCAAAGGTCATTCTCAAAAAAAATCACAAAGAAGTAAGTCTTTTCGTGAACCTGGGAGACATAGGGGTGAATTGGTCAGGGCACCAAGTTTGAACTCAAAGAGGAAAGCCAAAACGGGTACCAAGAAGCCTCAAGAGAGGAGTGTTGAGCTCACTAGGGCCTGAGAGCTCAGCACTCTTGAAAGCTGCCCCTGTACCCTCAGCACTGCCTGAGATTCCTATGCCACTAACCTTAGTCTTGCCCTTGTTAGACTTTTTTGGCACAAGAGAGGGCAAAGGGGGAAGCCCCTCAGTATTGACCTCCACATCGATAGAACCAACTCCGGGGAAATTGTTAATTTCATCACCCACCTCTCCTAAGTCAACATTCTCCTCGGCAGACCTATCTCCCAAGAGGGAAACAGATGAAGAAGTGATTCCAGAGGAAGCAGACATAATGGGGCATGAGAAAGGTAAGCTGAAAGAACGGTAGAGAGGAGGAACACTAGTTAAGCACTCCTTAATAACCCTAGGGTCAGTACAGTAACTTTCGACACCAAGGATTCGCACAATGGAACCCCAGTCCACGAAAAGGGGAAGAGGATACAAACAATGGTCTCGGTTCCAGAAGTAAAAAAATCGAAAAGCCCAGAAATGCAACAACCACCTCGAAATCGAGGGATCCAGAACGAAGAGATGGAAAGAGGGCAAGGAGCATACCTAGGTAAGGAAGAACAATGGGATGAAGCTCGAATTGAAGACAAAGAGCAAACTTCGCTGAAGCCACAAGCTGAATCAAGAAAAAAAACGGTCTTGATTAAAGCCTTAAGATCACCGGTGGAGAGGGAAAGCAGAGAGTGTGGGAAGATGAAGAATCTAAGGCCAAGGGAAGAAGATGAACAGGGGGTTTGAACGGTTTTTTTTTAAGCCGTTTGAGCATTTAAAGCTTGAAAGACGTAAAACCCAACATGCGCGAGAATCAAAGAAGCCATGATTGCTGAAAATTGTCAGAGGGCAACTCCCACGTACAAGCCTAGGTCAGTCATGTGCCGGTCTAACTCGATTCAGCTCATATCTAAGCTCACTTGGACCAAGGGTTAGGGGGCAACTGATGATACCTAAAATAAATTCCAAGTATGAGCTCAGGAAGTGAGGTCAGGTCAGGAGGTCGAGCGAGACACGCAGAGCTCAAATGACCAAAGCTGAAGTTCTCCTCAGGCGAGGCAATAACGGGAATGATAAGGGAATAGCTAGATGACAACAAATACCTCTGAAGCAATGGAGAGCTAGAGTCAAGGCATAAAACACTCAACCAACCAAATCTTCTCATGAAATCAAGGAGGATTCTACGAGGGAGGGGCAACGATCTCGGTAGAAATCCCATAGAACAAGCAACAGCCCAATAAATATTATATAGTGCCTCCAAGTCAGGGAGAGAACCCTAAGGAATATAGAGCCCTAGAAAAACCCTAGAGATAGAGAAAACCATCTGTAAACCCCGTGAATAACCAATAAGACAATAGGAGGAAGAACCTCCATTGAAAAGTGGATTAGCCGAGCTCCTGAGTCGGTGAACCACTATATTTTTCACTGTATGCACCCCTTTGATCCCCTCAGTATTTCACAGCAACATCACACAAGTCTTGTAACTCTAATCCACGCTCATCACACGTTACCTGTACTTTTTGCTCATCAACGTGGTCATACGCCATCAATATATTAAAACTCTTATAATATATTTCTATTCCATATAGGATTTTCACATTAATTACCCAACAAACTCTTCCAATATTATCCTATTCTATATAAATTCTCACATTGATTACCCAACAAATTCTTCTTCAAGACAATTAAAGAGTTTGAGTCAAATTTTAACAATTTTCAAACATTATTTTCGTTCTGCGGCTCTAATGTTAGATAAATTAACCAACACACTCTACAATATTAAACAACCATTTATTATTATTTAAAATATAAATATTGCACGATCAATGTTCAACTTTTGATAATGCAATGTGATTTTAAACACGGATTTAATTACTAATTTATACACACACACACACATATATTTATATTAAATAGATACGCAAAAATATATAGTATAGATCTATAGATATATTGGAATCCTAAGAGAAACCTTCTCGTGCCTAGTTTTGTAGTAACCTAATTTACTTTTGTTGGGGTCAAACATTTGCCTTATTCAGCTTCATAATTGAAAATATAGATTTGAACATGTGCCAAATGCTAAGATCTTCTGAAAAATTATGTAATTCTTAAAATTCTTTTTATCTCAAATGAGCATATCGTTTTCTCTTCTCCATTTCCAGGTGAGCAAGAAGGGTTCACTGTAAATATAACAATGCAATAGGATTCAATCAATTTCAACTACTAATTCCAATGAATTATATTTTTTGCATCCAAGCTTGGAAGTTGGAAAGTTTGTCTTGAAGCAAACAATTTGAACAACACTATCATATTATGTGTGATCAATGAAAAACAAATTGAGAGACATACCCAAAACTGCTCGAATCTAACTTTGAAACCATGTTAAATCATCCAACCAAAAACACAATGGCAATGGGTGGAGAGGCCCACAAGACACAACATATTAGCTTAGGGGTTTTGTTAGCCATTGGGTTAAGCTCAGGTACACATTTGTCTCAGATGATTATCCTGATTATTGAATTTCACATTGAACTCCCCTGGATCTGTACACCTCACAGGTTTACAGTGAATATCGCAATGTGCAATGATAAAGGGCATACAATATATGACATGCTATGAGCAATAATAATCAATGTGACTGATTTCAAAATAGGTTTTCACATGCTGCATATGCTAGCACTAGCGTCGAGGTATGCTGGCCTTTGTAATGGTTCTTCAGACTTCTAACAAGCAATAGGGGAGGAAAGAAAGAGGCTGTTTCATTAAAAGAACCGTCTCAGTACAACAAAAAGAAAGATCGTACCAACATTGACATTTAAGGAAGAATACAAGGTTCCGAGTTCCAAATCATCTCCCAATTGAACTGCCTTCAGTGTCATACACACAAGACTTTGGCCACACAATGTAATTGCCAGAATCAAGCCCACCAAATAGTTTACATTACTCCTTGCATTTTGACGTCAACATTTTCAAACATGAAAGTTTCAAAGAGAACAAATCTATCCATTTCCCAGGGAATATAAGCTGTCAAAGTAGAGATGTGGCCAAATGCATCTCCCCATATCAAAGTTGATGCCCATATATTCACTGATTAAGTTTCCAACTCTTCTGATGCTCTTTGTCTTAAAGTTGTATAAGAGAAGGCCTTCCTTCTCTGGCCTAATCAATATTTCCTCATCGCGACCATCCCCTGAAGGAATATATTCCATTATCAGTAAAGGTCTGTTTACACCAAAGATATCAAAGCTGTACTCCTTGATCCAAATTTGATTATTTTGGTCTTTCATCATCCAAATATCAATGTGTGATACCCCTTGCTTTCTATCCACTAAACACAACGACCCTTTTATCGACAGCAAGCACACTGTACCATGGCATGAGCCTGAATAAGTTTTGGGAGACGAAACAATTTCGTGTTCTTCTCTGGCCAAATCAAACCCGTTTATTTTCATGGGGTTTCCAGTATTTTCTTTTTCATTGTCAAGCCAATAAAGTGATCCATTCACGCAGATTGGGTATCTACCAACCCTGCGAAAATGAGGAGAATTTCCCACGACTCTCCAAGAACCATGAGAATTTGGTCCACCTTCTTTTATAGTAAAAATTTGGCACACAATCTGCATGGTATGATTGCTATCAATTTCCCGAAACCAATGCACGATCTTATATACGTTGGTGGAAGGCAGATACCCGAGAGCAAAATTATAAATGTCGCGAAGCTTACTAGAATATGGAACTTGTAAAAGTTCTTGGGTGCTTGGATTGCAAACATAGACATGATTAAAACAAACTAAACACATCAAACCTTGACAAAACCTCCAAGACATTACTGAACTTACTATCTGCTTGGTGAACTGGTTCCGCAACTGTCCTTGTGTGTCGAAGGAAGGGAAGCAGATACGGAGGCGTGAATTGTAGAAAAATAACAAGAGTGGAGTTGAATTGGAGCGATTGCAGTGTAGATTTTGGAGAAGAGGGTCGGGAGGAGAGAGAATAGCGCGCCAGGGTTTGGACACGCACCTTAATTGACAGATGAATTTTGAGGGGAGTCGAGAGAGTATGTCGATGATCAGATCGCAAGGAAGACCCACGCCATTGGTGATTTCACTGTGTTGATGTTGGTGAAGGTTAGGGTTTCTCTGCCTTGGTTGCATGGTTGCTAGAAGGAAGAAATATTTTTTGGGGGTGGAATTCGATCAGGGATCGTAGGATTTCTGCTTCTCTAGCAGCTGATAAAAAAGATAAAAAAATAAAAATTAGTCAAAAATACATCCGTATGTCATTTTTTAGGAAAAATTTTAGTTACACCCCTTCTAATTTACTATATCTTTAAACATACTTCATTTATTATAAAAATATCTTTGACACCCTTTCTAATTTATATTTAAACATCATTGACCCTCCTGTCATTAAACCACCATTCCTAACAAAAAATTTTTTATCAAAAATACCCTAACATAAACCCCAAATAATTTTTTATATAAAATTCGATCCAATTAAAATTTATTTTTTTGCATATTAAAATTATTTTTTTATATATTAAAATTTAAACTTATTAAAATTAAATTTGAGCTAATTAAATTTTAATTTTTTATGTATTAAAATTTGAGTCGATTTCAGCTCTGCTTGAGCTGTTAGCGTCGATTAAAATTCGTTTCGAGTAGATTAAAATTTATATTTTTTTACTTATTAAAATTTATGTCAATTAAAATTAAATTCAAATTTATTAAAATTTATTTTTTACCTACTTGAGTAGATTAAAATTTAAATTTTTTTATGTATCAAAATTAGGACAGATTTAAATTCAATGTGAGTTGATTAAAATTTGATTCGACCTAATTTTTAATCGGCTCAAATCTTAATACATAAAAAATATAATTTTTAATTTATTTTGAATTTTAATACTTAAAAAATAAATTTTAATTAATTCGAATCAAATTTTAATCTGTCCAAATTTTAATACATAAAAAAATTTAGAAAATAGAGAGGATCTCATTGAATATATATGTCTAAGTAGAGGAGATGTGAATGAAGTTTATTCTCAAATATATTATGGAAAATTTAGTAAAAATGTATTTTAATTAACACCTTTAATCTAACAGGGTGTTAATGAAAATTCAAAAAATAGAGGATGTGTCCTTAAAAATATGATAAATTAGAAGGGATGTCACTGAAAATTTTCCTATTTTTTAAGGTAACTCCAAAAAAACAAACCAAGAAGACCGGTGCAACCCATGGTAGACCTGAAATTCCAAGAGATGAATATTAGGTACACAAATCCACCGGCCCTATAGTCTAATTATATATGGAGAATTACAGGAAGTATGGAATTTATTACTTAATTACTAAGATTCCTTGATATTTAAAATATTACACACAGACACTTTAAAATTTGTTCGCATGTAACATTTAGACCTCTACCGTTAATGTCTGGATATCATTCAATAAATTACACCCACCCCCTGAAATTTATAAACGTGTAATACTTAGACCTCTCAAATTTAAAATATTATACTTAGATCAAAAATATTATAATCAAAGATTGAAAATCAATTGGCAAGTGAATTTTTTTTTTTTTAAATCCAATTAGGCCTTTCCAAAAACACCTCAAGAAATATTTCATTCGTAAAAACAGCATTAACATACCAAAATTAACACTTGAAAAAGAATGCAAGTTGCTTAAGGTTAACGTACCCTCAAATTTTTTTTCGTGTTTTTCTTGTTTGTTTTTTTGGAGGTTTGGTTATCTCCTCCCATGTACTTTTTTTCATTTAGTTATATACAGATAAAGGTCCTGTCAAACCCCTCACATTGAGTGGATTTAGGAAGAAAAAAAAACGCATCTCCCGCTCAGGCATTCCATGCCAGACCCATATGTACTAAGGCCACAAGATAAAATAGCTTGCATTTTGCACAATACACGATTTATAATACTCTTTTTCATCATCAAATGGGCATTTTAACATCAATATTTTCAAACATGGAAGGTCCAAGGAAAAGAAACTTATCTAGCTCCCAGGAAATATAAGCTCTCAAAGTAGGCATGTGACAAAAGTTTTCTACCCATATCAAATTCGATGTCAACATTTTCATTGACTAACTTTACCATTTTCTGATGCTCCTTGTCTTAATGTTGTAGAGGAGGAGAAGTCCTTCTTTCTGTTGCCCAATCAGTATTTCCTCATCACGACCATCCCCAGAAGGAAGGTAATGCAGATTTCTAATAGATTTGGTGAACATATCAAAGTTGTACTCCTTGACCCAAATTTGATTCCTTTGGTCTTTCATTATCCAAATATCAACGTGTAATCTGCGTTACTTGAAGTCAACTAAACACAGCGACCCTTTCATTGATGCAGATGACTCTACAAGAACCTTGAGCATTTGATCCTCCTTCTTTTATAGTAAAAATTTGACACAATCTGTTCGACGTGATTGTAATCAGTTTCCTCAAACCAATGAACAATCTTATATTCATTAGTGGAGGGCAAATACCCAAGAGATTATAAGCACGACTAAGCTTAATGGAATATATGGAACTTGCAAAAATTCTTGGGTGCGGTGCTCGGATTGCAGACATAAACATGATCACAACATAAGAAACACATCAAACCTTGACAAAAATGCCATATCCACCAGGGACTGCTTATATGCTTCGTGAACTGGTTCCGCAACTGACCCTGAGTGTCCAAGGAGGATAGGATGATATGGCTGTACGAATTGTAGCAAAACAGCAAGACTGGGGTTGAATTGGAGCGATTGTGATGTAGATTTTGGAGAAGAGAGTCGAGAGGAGAGAGAATAGAACGCTAGGGTTTGGAGACACACCTAAATTAGCAGATGCATTTCGTGGGGAGGCGAGAGAGTATGCCGATAATAAAGTTGCGAGGAAGACCCACGCCATTGGTGGTTTCACTGTATTGATCTTGACGAGGGTTAGGGCTTCTTTGCCTTTGTGCCATGATTGTCAAAAAGGAAGTGTTTTGGCCTTTTTTTTGGGGGGGGGGAGGTGAAATTCGATTTAGGGTGGGGTGAAATTAAAGTTCAAATATCAATTTAAAATAAATGCCATAGTTCTAGGGATATGTATGAAATTTACCCCTTACATTACATACATGGCCTCTCAAAAGAATACCATTGTTTCGGTTAAACCCTTAAACTAAATATTATTTTAATTGAACCCCTCAACTTTAGAATTCGACTTAATGTGAACCGTGTGTTTCACTCTGTTAAAATTATGAACTATCCTTTGTTTGAACAAGTTCATCTCTAGAGCCAAACATCTATCTTCATCTTCATTTTCATATCTCTCTCTCTATATAGTCTTCTCGCGTACAATCCACATTACTTTGTCCAACGTACCATGATGCTAAAAATAAGAACATCTCCTTAAAATTCTTAGTCACAACGCCCAAAAATAAGTTAAGAAATAAAGTCGATCCCATGAGCCTTTTTTTTTTTTTTTGCTCATTAAAATTGAGATAATAAAGCGAGAATACATAATGTAAAACAAAAATCTTAAAATAAATTATAAATTTAAAATACTATAGCTACTATGCCCCTCTCGTTGCCTCCATGGCCACAGCTTCTCTGACTTTTGCAGGAAGGTCTGTTGGTGGTAATACTCCCAACATATTTCCTGTTCAGTCCCCATGTTGCCAAGAAATGTGCTGCATAGTTTACATACATCTCTGTAGACCTGGTTCATCCCCCAGTCCAAACGCTCTTTCAGCAAGAATTTCAGGTCATTGTTGATGGCACTATAGCCCAGTTTGGTTTGATGTGGCTAAGAAGGGCTGTGTGTAAAACAATTTGAGAGTCACCTTCAAAGGTTACATAGCTCCATCTTTTGTCATGTGCCTAGACCATGGCCATTCTTGCTGCTAGGGGGTCTTTGTTAATATCAAGTGTCACTTGTGCCTCAAGGACTTCTCCTGCTTCATTCCTCGCTATCACTGCAGTGCAAGATCCCGAACTTCCAATAGTTGCACCAACGTTAATCTTGGTTCCCCCTATTTTGTGGAGGGGTCCAATATTGACTGCCTTTTCAGAACTTCTGAAGCCTGAGTAGGGAGGCTCAATCTGATTACAATAAACTCATTAAAGGACCGTGAAGTCAAAATTTCCGGTGGGTCCACGTTGGCCTTTTGGATTTGAATTTTGTTTCTCCATTTCTAAATAGTGGTTGCTAGAACAGTAGCAAAGATTGTAAGTTGATGTGTAGGGGGGCTATTTGGGCCAAAAAGTACGCTTGGGTTTAGAATGTTATGGATCCATTATTGCATTATGAAATGTGAGAAGGCATCTGGTCTAAAACCCCATTTGGCGAACCAGAGCATTCTTGCAAGGGTGCATAGGAAGAAAATATAGGTGTCTGTTTAAGTATTTTGGCCACAGAATGGGCAGAAGATATCAGAGATAGGGAATCTGCTAGCAAGGAGGCCTTTCGTAGGAATGCTTTCAGTTGCCAGCCTCCAAAGAAACAGTTTATGTCTTTCATGCAAGGGTGAATGCCATAGCTTCTTCCAATCTGCTTGGTCTAAGTACTGGCTCGTTTGATCTCTATCTTTTCTTAGGAATGTGTATGCAGTCTTTGTTTGAAATAGTCCAGATGTGGCAGGGATCCATGTCATCTGATCATCTCTTGGGTAGATAGGCAGCTTTATTCTTTGAATGACCTCCACTGTTTGCTGGTTAAAGAGTGAGAGAAGGAGCTCCAAGTCCCATGTATGTGTTTCTTGATTGATCAACTCAGGTATTGTTGTTGGAGGACATTCTATATCCTGATCAAGTTGTACTCTAGGAGGGGAGATTGGGGATTCATGGCTCTGTCCAGATATTGATTGAGTGCCTCTTATCTTTGCATCCATTTGTTGACAGATTTTCCTGGGTAGCAAGTGTAACTGCAATGCATAAATGGGCATTGCTAGAGCTGTAGATTTGATAAGGATTGCTCTTCCAGCATATGAGACTAGTTTGGACTTCCAACCTTGTAGTTTCATTTCAAGCCTTTGCAATATAGGCTGGAATGTTTTGTTCTTAAATCTATTACCACTATTGTGGATATTTTTATCACTATTGTGTTAATTATTTTTATCATTTTTTTTTCAATACTAAAAAAAAATTATTATTTTTATAAGTAATTTATCATATTTGTGGGTATTTTTATCACTTTTTTCAATATCACAATAATAATAATAAAAACACGACCAAATATAATAAAAGCCAGTACGGTGTCAATTTTATTTCCTAGTACTTTAGACAAATTTTAAAGTCACTGGGTTTTTAGTTATTTACTTACAGAACCCTTACGTGTCCATGTGGCAATTGTCTCCTAAAAGCTCTCATAAATGCTCAATGCTCTATTTCTTAATAGTCTTTTCAATTTGGAATGGTACCATTTATCATTTTTTAAAAAATATTTTTATTATTTTTTGAATAAAATTTACTAACTTTTGGAGTAGAATCATTTTTTTGGGTTATTTATCATTTTTTGAGTTCATTTATCATTTTTGAGATATAGTTTATCACTTTTGATGATAGAACTACCTATTTTTTAAAATATTTTATTTTTAATACGGTATCAAAATTTTATTTTTTGTGATACCGTAATGTTTTCCCCCACCCTTTTGCCAAGTTCGTAAGTAGTGGGGCCCTCTTAAATGTGAATTTCATTCTCCATGGACCATGGTTTTATGAAAATGTGGCAGGATGCTACTTAGGTACAGTAGGTCCAAACGACTAGCTTGAAACAATCTTCTCTAGTAGTATGGTGGCTTTCATTATTCATGAATCACTTTTTAAGTTGTAACTTGATCATTAAAATTTATAAATTTATTTTTTAAATTTATAATTTTTATGATTAATTATAATATTTTAAGAACTACTTATGTCTTTTATATTGTAACTTATATTTTAAAAAAATATAACTTAACCTTAAAAAATTATAAATTTTAATATAATATCAAACTTTGTGGTACCACAATTATAACTTAAGCCTTTTCACGACTTTTTATCATGCAATTAACAACAATTTAGTGTCTGAAGACAGTTTGTGATGTCAAAAATTGAGTATTAATTGTATAATATTTTATATATTTAAATATTAATTTATTTGTTTTAGTTACATAATTTAAAATTGAAGTGAAGAGAGAGAGAGAAATAATATAGGGGGAGAGAGAGAGAGAGGAGGCATGTATGAATTAATGGAGTTTTTGGCATTGAGAAGTGTGTTTGTTGAATTATTTAATATTGAGGGTATGAAAAACATAATATTTTTTAGAGAGAAAAATTTTAAATTTTTATATAATTGAATATAAATAAATAAAAATTAAATTAATCTTAATCGTTATTATTTATATCTGTATCTATATAATTAAACATGACCCATTTTGAGTCCTTCAAATAAAACTAGGGCCACCTCATTAGGGCTCCATTTTATGGAGGTTTTAATTAGGTTTAATGTTCAAATAAAAAATTTAAATAAATATTTAATTAAGTTTAATTTTATTTTAGTACTCCACAAAGTAAATATTAGAATTTTTTAGATTTGATTTGAGCTTGTTAAGAATTTTGTTATGTTGTTAATAGCAACATAAAATATCATTTGAGTCCATGAGATATAGCTTTAGTTTTATTATTTATAATTTTATTTCCTTTAATTGATTATATTAACATTAAATCTAGTAAAATTCTATCTTATTATTACACCAGGTATCACGTTGTTTGAATTAACTATATTATCTATTGAATTTGAAAAATATATGCTAACAAAATTTAATAAATACTTTTGCATCTCCAAAGAAAATAATATAAATAAATATTTTATAATAATTTAAATTTCAAGATTTATTTTAAAAATTTTGGGGCCTCTTTTAAATTTTTTGCTTTAGCCCACTTTTTTTGTCAGCCCGCCCCTTGTGATAAAAAGGGTAGATGAAGAAAAGATCAACTGTTACTTCACATTGCAAGTGATTTTATAAAGGGTTAATCGTAAGTTATACCTCGAAAAATAGTTTAAATTTTAATTTATATCCTTAAAGATTAAAATTTTAATTTGTATCTTCAAAGATAGAAATTTGTATCAATATGCACTCCTAAAGATAAAAAATCTTAATTTATACCCTTAAAGATAAAAATTTGTATCAATATGTACCCCCAAAGATAAAAAAATCTTAATTATACCCTCAAAGACAGAAATTTGTATTAATGTGCATCTAAAATTAAATTGATAAATTATACATAGATCCCCTCATACTTGTCACTTAATCATTTGGACCCCTTCACGTTTAGAATAATACTCTCACATTTCATGACAATGACTTTTTTAAATAGTAAGTTTGATTTTGAATTTTAGAGTATATTGGACCCATAAAATAAAGAGTAATATAAAATTATAATTTTTTATTAAGATAAAATCAAATTTTTTAACGGTTATATTAACAAATATCAACGAAAAGGGGTTACGTGTTACACGTATACAAACGTCATGAGATGTAGGAGTAATATTCTAAATGTGAAAAAGTCCAAATAATTAAGTGACCAGTATAAGGGATCTAGATATAATTTATCAATTTAGTTTTAGGTGCACATTAATATAAATTTTCATATTTGAGAGTGCAAATTGAGATTTTTTTATTTTTGGGGTATGCATTGATACAAATTTTAATATTTGAGGGTACAAATTGAGATTTTTGATCTTTAAAGGTGCATATTGATATAAATTTTTATTTTTGAGGGTGCAAGGATCTTTGGAGGTGCACATTGATACAAATTTTTATCTTTGAGGATATAAATTGAGATTTTTGATCTTTGAAGGTCCAAATTAAAATTCAAATAATCTTTTAAGGTACAATTTGCAATTAACGCTTTTATAAATTATAATTTACGACCCCGCCCGCCATAGTTTAAAAACAGAACCGATCCTGTCCGCTGAGGAATATTCACTCTCCCAATCTGAAAACGCCACGTCATGTCAGAGATAGACACATGACGACCCGCTTATAACGCCTATGTATATGTATACATTCACGTGCATTTCTATACTCGCGTCTCTCTCCCTCTCTCTCTCTTCTATGTACATCTCTGAGTAAACCTGCAAAACCCTAGATTAGTACAGTGGTCATCGATTCGCTGTCATTTTCTTGGTCCAGGGGAAGGCGAGAAGCTCAACATGGACGGAGTCGATTCAACTCGAGCATTCGTCAAAGATGTCAAGCGGCTCGTCATCAAGGTCACTTTTTTTTTTATCAATTCATTGCTGTACATTTAATTTCTTGTTTATTTTCTTCACAAATCCTAAATTTTCTATTCATGTAGTTTAGATTCATTATGCAAATTCACTTAAAATGATAATAATTCAAGCTTCTATGGTATGAAGTTTAGTGGTGTTTATCAGTGATCAGAATAATGCAAAGATGGATTGTATTCGAATGTGTCGAGAAAATTGAGCTGTGAATCAGCTTGATTATTGGTATTTGTTCTGCTATACCTGATATTAACTCTAGGATTTGAATTTTTAAATTCTGATTGATTGATGATTTGGAATTCATTATGCAAGTACAGCAAAGAAGGATCAAAATTATGATGACGAAAGACCTTTGTCGCCGTAGTCCCTATTGATTTGACAATTATGGGAGAATAGGGGCAAAATTGTGTTACTAGGGATAAGATTTTTTAAGGATCAAATTGCAGATGGCATTCCATTCAAGCGGTTGCACCAAGCAGGATTTTTTTGTCATGGCAACATTGTTAGTCGTAATTCTACTGTAGTTACAATTATGCAAAATATTGGCTGTTGGGCAGGAATGTGACAGTACTAGTTTTAGTTTGTGAAAATTAAAATACTCTCAAAAAAGGGGGAAAAAAAAACTTGGGCTGACACACTGGGAATCTCATGGATACTAATATCATTTTTGGAGGAATAAGATTCCTTATTCGAATTGAGGGGACCATATGGAAATGAGACACAATAAGATGATATCTACATGCCAGCACACCATTCCTGCAGTCCTAACACAATGTTAATGAAAGCCAAGGTTGATCCTTGACATGGTTGGGTAATTTGAAAAGTAGATGCTTTGACATTTTTTACTGATGTTTCTATTTGATAATTGAAGGTGGGGACTGCTGTAGTCACTCGGGCTGATGGAAGGCTAGCCCTTGGAAGGTTAGGAGCACTTTGTGAACAGGTACATTTCTAACATGTTTCTAGACTTATAGTTATTTGATGAGTAAAACATTTTGCATTAGCAGATCTCTTCAGTAATGTCATGATATTTTTTTGTGTGTTGGACCTTATGATGTTGAATTCCAAATGAAATGCAGATTCAAGAACTGAACTCCCAAGGATACGAGGTTATTTTGGTGACATCCGGTGCTGTTGGTGCTGGTCGCCAACGACTTAGATATAGGAAATTAATCAACAGCAGGTTCTCAGTTCATCCTTTCTACATTCAAATATCACCTTTGTCAATATGCAATACGATGAAAATTTCTCCTATGGCAGAAATAGAATATTATTTATACAGTTGACCACCAGGTGGATATTAATGTAAAATACCATTTAAACTGTCATCTGTAGGTGTTAGTCTTATGAGGTAAACAAATGTGCAAATTGTCATTGTTCCTTTTTAGATCTATTGTCACTTGGTACGCCAAACTACTGACGTGCCAGCAAGACTTTTAAGGAGTCTCTATGTTACATTTTGGTTTGGCAAAGTTCTAATTTTATAAGAACTTGTGTGGTTGACATTCATTTGAAAACTTTGGGTTTTTTATAGATCAGATAACAATTTTTTCTTCTCAAATTGGATTTACTAAGTATTGGTAGCTTTTCATATATTGCAGCTTTGCTGACCTCCAAAAACCACAAGTTGAGCTTGATGGGAAGGCTTGTGCAGCTGTGGGACAAAATGGTCTCATGGCTCTCTACGACACTTTGTTTAGCCAGGTGGAAATCATAACTTAAGTACCTTTTAATTGTTGTTGGAAATTGTAATTTTGGTAACTTCTAATAATATGCAGAATTATCAGTTTGTAGTTGGAAGAGTCATTTGCTAACTTTATATTACATCTTCTGGATTGGTTCATAATTTTTTTTGATTTCATATGCAGATGGATGTGACATCAGCTCAGCTTCTTGTGACTGATAATGATTTTAGGGATACAGATTTTAGGAAGCAACTAACTGACACAGTCGAATCATTGTTGGCGCTGAAGGTTATTCCTATATTTAATGAAAATGATGCTGTCAGTACAAGGAGAGCTCCATATGAGGTATGCTTCTCTTCTTTGTTTGCTATTGGCTCCTGATTGACATTTTGACTTCACTGTTTACACATTTTTTTCTTACAAATTAGCCTAAGAAACTGTTGTAATGGTGTGCATATGGATGTGCTCACCTGCCCACCCAAGTGCATCTGTTCTAAAAAAATCTTCCACTGAGTACCTTTTATATGCATGTGCATCTAGATGTGCCCACCTTTTTGTGGTTTGGGGGAGGGGAGAAGGGAGAGGAGAGGGGAGAGGGGAGAGGGGAGAGGTGGGAAATAGTGAAAAAAACAAATTCTACGGAAGTCCATATGTAGGCTAATTTTGTTGAAATTTGGAGTTAATGACTTTGTGGTGCAGTCGTGCAGTTCTAAGTTCACTGTAAAAATGGTGCTAACACTTGTACAATTCTCTTGTGCCTATCGTTGCCGAGGCTTGTATTTTTGTCCTGATTATTTGCAATTCCTGTAGGACTCTTCTGGTATATTTTGGGACAATGATAGTTTAGCAGCTCTATTAGCTTTGGAGTTGAAAGCTGACCTCCTTGTTCTATTGAGTGATGTAGAGGGTCTCTATAGCGGCCCTCCAAGTGATCCACAATCAAAGCTACTTCATACATACATCAAAGAAAGGCACGAGAAGGTGATCACTTTTGGAGACAAGTCTAGAGTGGGAAGGGGGGGTATGACTGCCAAAGTAAAAGCTGCTGTTTATGCAGCCCATGCCAGCATCCCTGTTGTAATTACCAGGTAGGCTTCTATCATGTTGGTAATATCTGCATTTGGATCATCAAACACATCTAACTGATAGTGTGGGGGGTTTGTTCAGCTGATTTTAAGATGCTTGCCTAAGCTTATGCATGTGTGCTGGGTGCTTTTTATTCGACAACTGATTTAGCGTAGTTTACTGCTTTTGGATTCAAAGAGCTGCTAAACATGATGTTTTTTCAGTAAAATAATGGACTGGAAGATTCAGCCACTATAAATAGCCATGAGTTGGAAGAAATTTGTGGATAAAAGAGACGCAGCCCTCTCTTTTCCCTCATTATATTTGTTTGTTAAAGAAGATGCCATATTTTCAGTTTAAAACTTGCCGTTTATGGCTTAATTCAGTTCCAAACTAGACAACAAGTATGTTAACGTCACTTCGCGTCGCCTGACAGGGATATGATTTTGACGTGAAGAAGATAGGTGAGAGGTGGTGGACTCTGTAAATCCTGATTGTCACATGTTGTGTCTTTATTCTGTGTATTTCCTGCATGGACATAGGCATGCTACAGAATCCTGTAGATTATTTTTATTGCCTTCATGGCTTAAACTTCTACTTTAGTTCGTATGCTTTAATGATATATAGAACTCATTTAAATAAAAATGGAAATGCAAGTTCACTCAAAGTATGCCAAGCACAAAACAACTGCCAAAAGAGCATGTTATTGAACTCTCTGAAGGAAATCATCTTTCCTTTAAAATGCCTTCTCTTTTCCTTCCTTGTACTGTAGACTTATTAATAAAGGAAAAAATTAGCTTATGAAGTCCGAGAAGTAGAACTTAACGCTCTCACCATGAAGGGCAAAACCAGATGAGCCACTGATTAATATGTTCTCGATGGAGCGAATGTTTGAAATTCCAATTTCTATTTGGTCAGTGATCAATTAGAAGAATTTTTCCGTCCAACCTTCCCAACAAGAAAAACCATCTTAGGGGGTGCAGAAGCAGCCAATTGTTTCCATGCCAATCTCTCTCCAAAGAAACTCTAGTCCAATTACAGATATTTATTACTCCCAAAAGAGTTTGAATTAGTTGATGGAGAGGACTAAATTATAAACCCCTGAATGCAGGAGAACATAAAGCAACTAATGAAAAAAACCACCAATTAGAAAGCAAGAGTCATGCTAGCCCTTGCCCTCCCTCAATTTAAGGGTTTGAAACTTCTGAAGTCTGAAAACAGTAGGAGCCAGTGGGTAGGGGGCAACATATTGTAAATTGGGAGGCAACATGTGTATTGCCTTTGTGCTTTGAGGTGCCTGTTTTTCTGCTTGATTTTGCACTAAACTCTTTACTGGATTCTTTCTTTTCTTTTTGAAGTGGCTTTGCTACTGACAATATCATAAAAGTACTCCAAGGAGAACACATTGGTACCCTCTTTCATCGAGATGCACACAAATGGGCCCCACATGGAGAAGTTGATGTACGTGAGATGGCAGTTGCAGCAAGAGAATGTTCCAGACGACTTCAGGTACAGAAACGCTTTTTTCCTGATTATTCTGATTTATATGTATAAATTTTTCTTCTAGAAAAAATCAGTATAATTGTTCATCACCTGTCCACCTTTTGCTTATATTATGTCTTCATCTTTATATTTATTAATAAAATCTTTGTTTAATATCACGAAAAAGGGTATAATTTTTATGAATAATTGCAGAAAACTTTCCTTTGCAGTCCTTGTCTTCACAAGAAAGGAGTAAAATTTTGCTGGATATAGCTGATGCACTGGAAGCAAATGAAAAAGTGATTTTAACTGAAAATGCAGCTGATGTTGCTACTGCCCAACAGGCTGGATATGAGAAATCATTGGTATCTCGGCTGGCACTAAAACAGGGGAAGGCAAGACACTGAAGTTTGTCATGTTGGATAATTTTTCTGTTAATTATTGTTTGTACCTTTTGATTTCTTGTCCCGGCTTTATTCACTTGAAACATTTATTTTGCGTAACATTCTCATAACATGGTGCCTCTCTTTCTTTCTCACAGTGCTGATCTACATGATTTTTATAGGTTTCAAGTCTTGCAAACTCAATTCGAGTGCTCGCAAATATGGAAGAGCCAATCGGTCATGTTTCGAGGAGAACTGAGGTAGTGAAAGGGTGGCAAAGGATACAGGAAAATTTATACCAAATCGAAAAGTTGGATATATATTAAACAATTACTTGAGATTACTTTCATGTATATGGAATAAACTCCCTTGTCCTTTTGTAGTGCAGTTCAAAATATATTTGCTAAAATTGAAATTTTCAACTTTTATGCCCTGGCTTAAGAAGCAAACTTTAGATCAGCTACTTGACAAACATTAAAAGATTCACATAATTTCTAGTAGTGCTTTTTTTCTTAAAAAATTTTTTTTACTCTTTGAAAAAGATTCCTTCAGAATTTTGCACATATTATCTTTTAGCTCATGCTTGTAGGTTGTGATGTCTTTTGTTGATTAATGTTGCATCCAGCTTGCAGATGGATTCATATTAGAGAAGACATCATCTTCCTTGGGTGTTCTCCTGATTATTTTTGAATCACGACCTGATGCACTAGTACAGGTAAATGGTCAGAAAAATTGAAGTGGATGAGTTGCTTCTGTCTCATCATGCATATGGTAGACTACAGTCAGGGATAGACTCAGAATTTTATCATTGTGGGGTCCAAATTCCATTAATAAATTCACAATGTACAAAAATAAATCTGACAAATTAATGGATATTTAATATAAATAAAGATATCGATAAAAATGAAAATGAACTAAATGAATAGCTTTTTATTGTATAGTCCCAAGACGTCTATCAAAGCGGATCTCAACTTTTTTTCTATCATGGAATTCATATATGATTGAATTTGTGCTAAATTTTGTGGCAATTTATTTTTCTATGTACACAATCAAAGAGTCTGTGAGAAAATTATCTTTCATCTTATTGCGAAGTCTAGTTTTAACAACATTCATAGCTGAGAAAACACATTTTGTATGCAGCAGAAACTGGAAGTGTAGGCACAAGTTAATCGATAATCAATAACATAGAATACAGAACAGTTAATCGAGTCACAAGAATAACTTGATTAGGTTTCCTTTGCTTGTAATTTTGTTCTTCAACACAAAAAATCAATGTATATTGAAGAGATTGCCGACTAATGTATATACTTATATCGTTCTCTGTTGCTTGCAAATTGCAATGGTTTAAGCATTGCAAACAAATTAGGACTCTTTATGTTACTTTATTTAGAATTTAGGCATATTAGGAAAATCAATATTTTTTAATCAAGATTGCGATTGTTGGATTGGTGAAAGAGTTCTTTTATTATTTTATAAAGATTTTGTTAAACTTTTAAATGCAATATTATTTTATGACAACAAGAAAATTTTATAATGGCAACAAAATTATTTTACTAAGCAAGAAAATAACATTTACATTCTTAATTGGTTTTGTGCCCATTTATCACTTCAAGCTGCAAGATTTGTCATTTGGTGGGGGGCCAATGCACAGTGTAGCCGGGTCTTATTTTAAGGTGTTGTACACTCTACCTAGGAGTTATGCAAAGTATGGGGGTCATGGCCCACCTAGGCCTCTGTTAATTTCCGTCCCTGACTACAGTTATACACTTATACTTCTCCTTTACTAAAATGAATCTGAGGTCGGATTTTCATTTTCATATGCTTGGTAGAATATTTGCATCAAGTCTAGTGATTGAATTTTTGTGTGCCTTTCTTGTACTGGACTTTTGAAGTGTTATTGTGATTGTTCTCCTTCACCTCATATATGGCAGTTGGTAGCTTTGGTGCATCTATATGCTTGAGTGGACTATTATGTGGTCGGATTCACTAAGTTTTCTTTTTTTATTTTTCCTCCTTTTTTCCTCGTTTTCCCCTTTTGTGATCAGTTGAACATATATTCATAATATCTCATATTTTTGCCTGGGTGATATGCTATGCAATGATATTGAGTTTCTTTTATGTTCGACAATAGATCTACATTTGATTTAAAAAAGGGTGGCTTTGCATGGTCTGATGTATACAACCTTATTTCTGTGACTTGAACTTTTGATGCTCAGGTCACAATTGAGCCATCTTACCACTGGCAAAACCCACCCTCATCTCCATTAAATTTTATCTATGTTAATGTTTCGAGATGGAAGGTTTGAAGGTGGAGAACATTATATTCATATGCCAAATAGGCTGGTTAAATGTACAAGAAAAGGAAGTTAAAGATTATGTACTCTGAGTTTTTATAGTATTATAATCATTATGCTAAATCTAATGCAAGGAATGGAGAGAAGAATATCTAAGAAATTGGTAAGTTATAAGAAAGTAAAATTTATAGGACTACTAAAAGGCAGATTCTACTATTTACAAGACAGTATACTGGACAACTTGGAAACAAGATGTTCATTAAATGAGTGTAGGTGCAATGAAAATGTTGTGGTGGGCATTTGGTAAGACCAAAAAAAAAAGGAACATAATTCAATCAATTATATTTGTGAGACGGTAGGTAGCACCAGTGGAAGATAGTAAGGAGAAAGTCGGTTTATATTATTTGGAGCAAAGATTAATAGGTGCACTAGAGGTAATCCTGGGGAGAGGAGAGACCCAAATTTATATCGAGTGAGGTTATTAATAATGACGTGGAGCTTTAAAGGCTTGTAGGTTCCATATATTAAAAAAGTGGTGCCTCACTATGTAGGTACCTTTTACAAATTTACAGTTTCAGCTTTTCCTTGGAGAAGACAGGCATCTACTGCTTTTGATTTGTTTTCAGAGTAGTGTCTTGTTAATTTGCTGCGAATGTTATCATGTTTGACAAACTCACAAGCTGCTTTAGGTGATCCAATAGAATTATAAGTCATTCAGCATTTGCTTGTCTTTGAATTATATTGTTTCACTGATGATTGAAGCCTTTGGAATTTTATGTAATTGGAATAGATAGCTTCACTAGCTATCCGAAGTGGGAATGGGCTCCTCTTGAAAGGGGGGAAGGAGGCCAAACGATCCAATGCAGTCTTGCACAAGGTTTTTTTCTCTCGGATTAATTCCTGTTCTTGATTATGTTGACTTGACTTGTAACATTTCTCTACAGTATCGTATCTTTCACGGGTTAGGTTTTGCTCTTGACTACATACTTCCTTTTATTTTCAGGTTATTACTTCAGTCATCCCAGAAAATGTTGGTGGGGGACTTATTGGACTTGTTACTTCCAGGGAAGAGATCCCTGAATTGCTTAAGGTGGCTTGAACAGAGTATTTTGACTGTTATTTTATAGCATTTTGGTGTACTAATGATGGCCCATATAAACCATAAGTGGTTACTCATCATTTACATTTCTGCTCCAGCTTGATGATGTGATCGATCTTGTGATTCCAAGAGGGAGCAATAAACTTGTTTCGCAAATCAAAGCTTCTACAAAAATTCCAGTTCTAGGTCATGCTGGTAAGATAAACATATTATCGGAATGATAGTTTTTCGCATACAGTTGCCTTATTAAAGCTGTTGTCTTTGCTTCCCAGATGGAATTTGCCATGTTTATGTTGACAAGTCTGCTAATATTGACATGGCAAGGCGCATTGTTTTGGATGCCAAAACGGATTATCCAGCAGCCTGCAATGCCATGGTAATGTATTTCTTGACTTTTTTTGTACTGTAATCTGATATCTTATGATACTCTTACTTAGGGTCATGATAAGTGCCAATTTTTCTCATGTCTGCTAATTCATTGCTAATTTATGCCTTACAAGAGTAAATTGTGTTGTTCTTTTTGCTGTTTCCAGGAAACACTTCTTGTTCACAAGGACTTTATGCAAGATGGTGGTCTTAATGAGCTTATTGTGGAACTTCAAATTAAAGGCCAGGCTTTTTTTTCATACAACTTTTATTTCTACCTCTAACTAATAGACCCAACACCCCCCTTCCCCTTTCTTGTTAATACGGCCTCAACCCCAGGTACATGCTACTACAAGCCTACAACTAATACCACCTGTAATCCTATAGTTTCCTGTTTTGAACTGGACCATAAGATTGCAAAATACAAAATGAACTGAAGATCCTCTATCTGTAATACTTGTGGTGCAGCAAAAAATTTAAATTAACAAAAGGATTGAGTTCGGTAAGAATAATGTTCCACTCTGAACTCCAAAAAATGGTCTTCTATCACCACTTCTCTTGTAATGTTTGGAAAATATTTTTTGCCGTTGATAACAAGGTTGTTGTGTGTCCCCATTAAGCAAGTAAGCATATTTTGTTCACATCATCTTCCAATCGGAACCATAGCTATTAGTATCGTAGGAAACGTAATACGTATCGTGCGATACGTCACGATACACTTGAAAAACGAAACGTATTGTGTCTCTGTATCGTTTTTGCACCGTATCGTACGATACAAGATACGATACAATATGTCCGATACATACAATACGTGAAGATTTTTTTTTTTTTTTATTTATTGGTTTTTTGGGGCTGAGATAACATCATTTTATCCATGACTTATTTTTAATTACTAACGTCATTTCAGTGGTTATGGTTTAAAAATAAAAAATAAAGTCTCTTGTTAATGTTGTTCAATTAAATTCAAAATTCCTGATTAATATCATGGTTATTCAAGCAGTTGATATTAGAAGTTGGAATTAGAGATTTTTGTATTTTGATATTACTGAACTATGTTGGGAACTTGAATAAGTGGTAGAATATTAATGAAATGCAATATTATTATGAGTCTATGATTTTTTTACAAAAGTGTATATATATATATATATATATATTTATATTACTTGTTTCTTACGATACATTATTTTGAAAAATGATACGGCTTCCGATACGCGATTTGACAACTATGATTTGGACCTAAAACCAGAGCTAAGTGCTTCTCGCAAGCCCGTTCCTTTTCTGCATACTCTTTCTATTCTATACATGGAGTGAGCATAAATCATGGCATTGAGCTCTTGATAAATTTTCACCCTCTTTCAAATGGTATTTGTGCTCTGGACACCATTGATTTTCCTATTTTTTCTTTTTTCTTTTTAGTTTCAGTCTAATCTTGTCTGTTTGTCATTTTTATATCCTGTGAGTTTCGGTTAATCTTTTAGAAAGTTATGGTTAGATCGTCGAAATTTTATTCAATATTTCGATGCCTCAATAGTTATTTTATGGATATTGGTACTTCAATTGGCTGACAGTTACTGAGGAAATGCGAACGTGTTGGTGGTTTAAGTATTGAAACAAGCATCCCTTAGGCTTGCATTATATTCCAATAATTTCTTAAACCTTCTCTTGGTACTTTTCAAGGAGAAGTTTAAATAAAATGGATAATACAAACTTCAAGAGCTCAACTCAAAGAGGATATCCTAGCTTCAATGCTTTAGCATGTTTTTCACAAGAAATTGGACTACATTGAAAGACAATTTGTGTTTCCTGGTTGAAAGAAAAGCTCTAGCAATTCAAACTATGGTATACATTCCAATGTAGGTAATCTTCATACGCCGCAGCCCTATGTTTAACTTTGAGAATAAGCAGCAGCTTTCTATCTGCTATCGCAAACCTTAGCAATCTGTTCCTTAGGTAACATTGATTGGGCTTAGAAGTTTGGGAATTAAGTAAATGTTGACCTGTGAATAAATTGTTTCCACCTTAAGTGTCTGAAGAACAATAGACTACTATATATGTTGCAGGTGTTACCATTTTTGGTGGGCCAAGGTTGCGCTCCTTGGTGAATATTCCAGAGGCACAGTCATTTCATCATGAATACGGTTCACTGGCTTGCACTGTGGAAATTGTGGATGATCTGTATGCTGCCATTGATCATATACATCGGCATGGAAGGCATGTTACCTTTCCTCATTTCTCACTTCCTCTTATATATCTGTCTGTATGTGTATGTATATATCTCCCTGTGCGTGTGGGTGTGCACGGGTGCAGTTTTTCTGTAAAAGATGCATAAAGAGATTGAGTCGTTTCCTTGTATTGGCAGTGCACATACTGATTGCATTATAACAGAAGACCATGAAGTTGCAGAAGTCTTTTTACGTCAAGTTGATAGGTATGGTTGCTTCTTAACTGCCTTGTTTTTTTTTTTTCTAGTTTCAAGCGTTGTACTATATAATGTTTGGCTATTGTATATTAAATTTGTGATTACATATCCTTTCATGTTAGAACACCTACGGGATCCAACTTACTGCTATTATGACACATCTGACCCTGCTTGTAAAACGTGTATTTCAACTAAAAAGTACTAGTGCATCTGCGGCTTTAGTATAATTTATCTTCTTTGGCAGTGCTGCTGTATTCCACAATGCAAGTACAAGATTCAGTGACGGATTTCGTTTTGGACTAGGTGCAGAGGTATTGTATCGTTAACTAGTTCATTTGGAACAACACTTGGTATCTTAAGTTTCTTACTCTCATACTGATTGCTATTGACTGGTCAGGTTGGGATTAGTACTAGTAGGATTCATGCTCGTGGTCCAGTAGGAGTTGAGGGATTGCTAACAACACGATGGTATGCATTTGCTATTTGATTTTCCTTGGTGTACCATGTACTTTTGATGACTTTTGTGTTACACATTTAAGCATAGGACGCCATCAATATCAACACATCAACAGCATTTTAAGTAAATTGTCAATTGATAAATATTAAATATGTTGAAACCCTTTTATTAACTTATACATTCTGCTGAGAATTGGAAGTCCTAGAGTACACTGATGCAGTGTGCCTGGGACAAAGCGTACTCTTCACATTACTTTGACCAATTTACTTGTAAATTGGTCAACTAACACTTGGATGCCTCAAGGACTGTCATACTATCATCACCAAGGATTTTGGAGAGCTAGATTTTACATGCCAGTTTTTTTTTAAAATCCACAGCAGCAAGAGGTAAGTTTTTTTCCTTTGATTAGTAAATAGAGAAATCAAAGAGAAAACTGAGAGAGATACGAGTTTAACAGGAGACTAAGAAAAAGGAGGTTATTTGTTTTGTTTGCAGAGCTGTTGATCCGTCTATATTGTTTGCTGTATGGGGTTCTAATTTAAGGTTTTGTTAAAAACATGGCAAATGAAAGGGAGAGGCAACTCATTTGAAGAATGATTTTAAAAACTCAATGATAAGAATATTTTGCTGTAATCTGATTATGATAACATTAACAATTCTTATTTGGAGCATTTTTATTGCTTGTATTGTCATGGAAAGTAAATAGTGATTTAATTATATGGCCTATAGAAGGACATTCCCAGCATTCCATTTCGTTTCCTTCCCTTTTTTACAAGAAAAAAAAATCATCCTATTTGAAGTACGTTCCATCGTTATTGTTTGGCATTTTGCCCTCAACTATCGTTGTTCGTATAACGCAGGATTGCAAGAGGAAGTGGGCAAGTGGTGGATGGTGATAAAGGGGTTGTTTACACTCACAAAGATCTCAGTTTACAGGCTCAAACCCATGCCAATGGAACCGTTTGACAATCCTCTACACAACACAAAATAAGTTTTGTTGATTGTGTCAACCTTGGCAGGGGTTGTCATGTTAGAACTACAGAATTCTCAAGAGTCTTAGTGAATTGGTTGGGACAGGTGAATGGTTCGTCGAATTCAAGGAGACAAAGGCGTAATGTAACATTCTTGTTATTAATCCTACACATATTGTATCGTAATCTTGAACAAGTTTAATATTCGTTTTCAGATTGTAGCACTAATAAACTGTACCGAGGGCCTAGCAGAGAGCTTCTAGTAATCATATTTAAATTTCAAATTGGGCAATGTAACCGTTTAATTCAAGCGCAAGTTCAATAAATCTCTACTTTTTGTTCATCGTATTGTTTTGCTCCGAGGGTGAGTGTGTTTTTTTTATTATAGGGTATTAAAGTTGCATCGATTATTCTCTTGAATTCTGAACTGACCACCATATCTCGAACTAGTTTAAAAATATATCCTCTAAAGAACAAAAGTGATTGACCTTTAATGGATGTAAAAAATATTGAACTTGACACTTCTTCCTTGTATGTGAGCGAACTTGACTATTAGACCACCCTAAAGGTTCTGAGGGTGAGTGTTTGTGTGTGATTTTCATAAAATTTCCACTCCCCGGTGTTCATGAATCTATCAGACTATTACTTCTCTGTTTATAATTAGCTTGTGCGAGGGTCATTGTTTGGCATGAGCATTGGCAGCTTAATAGGAATTCAAATTTCTCCCAATACTTCTTTCATCTTTTTTTTTCATCGGTACATCTTCCACCATGTATTACTTAGGCATCCATTTAAGTCCAGTGAGTCCCAATTGTTGCCAACAAAGAAACAACAGAGCAGTCTTCACTATAACACCACAGGTCAAATTGCTAACCAGGCAAAGAATACAAATGTCAAAAAGGCTCGAGTCCCTTGCCTCATTGACAGTAGGGGAGATGCTGCCACAATCTATGGATTGAACGTTGAATATGGCTTTGCACAAACATGTCACCGATGACATATATCCGCAAGAAGTAATCTTTCCATGTACAAAACCGCCTACCTAAAAATGAAGGTAACAACTAACAAGTCCAAACCTACTCGATGCAAAAAAAAAAAAAAAAACCTCTGAAACTAGAACTGAAAACTACTTCCAGCATGAAGAACAACGTTCCAATTATCCATTATGGTCCTGCGTAAGAACTAAACATTGCAGGAGTTCAACAATCTCCTCCAAGGAGTTCTCTCATTCAAGGGATTTCCTACATGACACAGTATAAATATTTCATACCATACAAAGTAGCATACCAAGAAAGATACCACTAGAACAATGCAAAAAAAAAATGTCATGAAGAAAAATCTGGTTCATGGAATAAAAATTCCACCAATTTTGTTTCACCAGTCTAAAATTTTTAAGCCGCTATAAACTTCTTGAGGTTCTTCAACCAGATCAAGTATTCTCTGCTGTCTTTGTTGATCATATATTCGTGCAAGTAATTGGTCGTGCTGGGCTTGATTCCCCTGATCTCAAGATACTTGTGAAATGCCTTCTGCAAATTCTCATCCAAATCCCTAAAAGAAAATTGAAAAGAATTGACATTTATATGCTACGTAATTAAATTAAGTACCAATATAGGTCCTAAAACATGTGTGGTTAAAATGAAGACTTACGAGAAATCAGGTCCTTCGTAGGCAATTTGATCTTCAGCATTAGGATCCTTAACGGACAAACTGTCAATTGAAATCTCATCAGGGTAAGCGGTACAACCAAACTCCAAACAGGGTCCATCCTTCTTGGAAACCCTTACAACAAGTGGAGTGCTAGATTGCATGCCCCTTTCAGTGTCATCATTGTTATCGCCATCGTCATCATTTTCCTCGCCCGTAATAAGGTCAGGCATGTGAACTTCAACATTAATAGTTTCACCCTGATATTCTCTTGTTAGAGATATGGTTTGTTGCCCAGTGTTATCTTGAAGTTTGAAAGGGAATCCCTCCGGAGCCTCTTCAACCTACAAAAATATGAAACGATTACCATTATGATACAACTTTCCAAGGAAGCACATGTCACCCTGTCAAATAAAAACATGAGGTCTAATAATAGCAATGATAAAATGAAGGAGATCTTAAAAGAATTTTGTATATCCAAACAGGTTCCAGTTTTAATAACCAACGAGTTGCACTGGATTAACAAAATCATTGAAAAAGGTAATGTCCAGAAAACAAAATAATGGACACTAGCACAATGTTTTTGAACATCTGAAACAACATAAAAACATCAACTAAGAACAGTAGTATCACATTACTAAAAGGTCCTCTACTAAATTTAACAGCTGTTTACAACTTGAAGTTTTCCATTCGGCACTACGGTAAGGACCCAATCTTCACACACAGTTATGTGTATATAGATGCGTGTATACAAAGTTCTATATATTTGATATATATACGCACATGTATCAGCAGTTTATGTGCTTATAAACAATTGTACTACCCACACATACATTCTTATCAATTAATTTATATGTGTGGCACTGTAAGACAGAGGAAGATTTTTCATTAAAAAATATAATGTTTTTGTTGTTGTCCAATTCAAATTAGAACATGAGTGGACAAAAAAAAGGGTCCCAAAATCTAACAATGCTGAATAAAAATTTGAGATCAACAGGATTAGATATGCTGGTCATTTCCAGAATGTTCACCAGTTGTTCAATTTCAGCCAAGAAACGATCAACTTGAAGCAAATGTGCAAGTATGTATGTTCATTCTAGTATTGTTGTAAATATGAATACTTAAAAACCTTTACCTCACAAAAAGACTCATGGACAAAACCCCAAAAAAGGCCGCTGATTAAAGAGATGATTTTATGGGCTTTTTTTCCAATTTTTTGGAGTTTTGTCACAGTCCCACTCCCACGTAACTTTTAAGTTTATTATATTCATAAAATATTATTAGTGACCTAAAAATTTTTGAAATTTATATTTTGAAAATTCCAACTTTTATAGTTTTTTAAAGAACCCCAAACGATTTTGGAGAGTTTTTTTTCATTCCGACTGTTTTGTAAAGCTTTCAAATTGCAACTTTTCACCTAAAAAATATCAGCTTCAAACATGGCCATTGTTAGACTAAAATACGCGCCACAAACTCATATCTCATACTCACGATAATTGCAGAAGCAATAATACTCTCAAAAACAAAATTACCTTCACATTACTTGTGATCATATTAAAATAAACAAAAAATCAAATACTTATCAATGTTAAATATGCAAGCGAAAGATATATGTAGAAACACACAATTGGTATATGTATAAAAGAAAAAGAAAATTAAGATTATCATTTTGGAAGCTATGTCCAGCCTTAGACAATTGCTTGGTCGTCTGAAAATAATCTATTATAATTTCAAGGAAAAAAAAAACTATTCAAACGAAGATGAACTAAAAAAGGTAAAAGAATCTAAAGGTGAAAACACTGACCTGATCATGATCATCAGATTCTTCGGCGCATTTGATCTCCGATTCGATGACTCGGAGGAGAGACTCATCAGAACTCGGCTTCTTGGTAGAATAGTGCAAAACCGGCGGAAATGAACTTTGAAAGAGCTTCCCAGAGATGTCGCTGTGCTTAACGGCGGCGAACAGAGCAGCGCACTGGTGGCTATATCTTTGAAACCCGATAGCTCGAATCGTCAGAGGTGTAAGTTGTGAGGCAGACCTGCGAAGAATTGAACTGAGAGCCATTCCGATATCGACCGAGAGAGAGAGAGAGAGGGTTTGGGGTTTGGTCTCAGAATCTGGGTTTTAGGGTTTTTAGGGTTTAGGGAGGCAGCATTTGGATTTTATATGGCGGTTCTGGGTTTTAGGGTATTATCTAGTGTGTTCTGAGTTCCCTTGCATGTGGCCCACAAACTTTTTATTTTATTTTATGTATTTATTTTTATTTTGGGGACCTTTTTTGCCTTTTTTTTTTTTCAAAGTATAATTTGACCTCTTGTTTGATTTTTTAGTTTTATTCTAATAGATAGTACAATTATATACTAATTATAATTTTTATTTTTAATTTTATTTCAATAAATGACATAATATAATATAAATTTTAGTTATAAAATTCATGTTTTATTATGAATGATTTAGATCTCTTGTTTGATTTTTTTGTTTTATTTCAATAAATAGTATAATTGTATACTAATTATGATTCTTTAAGAAAAAATTAAATTTATATTTTTAATTTTATTTCAATAAATAATACAATAGAACATAAATTTTGATGGTAAAATTAAAAAGAGCAATACTATTGGGACATAATAAATTGTCACCAATGATATGATAATGAATTCATTAATGTTATAATATGACTCATCATTAAATACATTTAGCTATCATTTTATTGGTGACAACTCGTTATATCCCCAAGTTATGTTCTTTAATTATGTTCCAATATCATTAGTGTATTTAAAATGTTTGATATTCTATTTTTGATTAAAATATTTTTGGTTTAGGTATAATATTTTAAATTTGATAGGTCTAAATATTATATATATACAAACTTCAAAGGATTTGAGTATAATTTATTAACGAATATTCAAATTGACGATAGGGATCTAAGTATTACACATGTATAAACTTAAAAGGGTCTATGCATAATATTTCAAATATTAAATTATTTTAGTAATTAAGTGACAAATCTTAGAGGATCTGAGTATAATTCTCCCTAATTCTTATTGATTTAATACAAAATCAATATAAAATTATAAATTATGAGTTTAACATGTTGGGTTAGGACCCTAGTTTAGTTGACCAGCTAATTCTTTTAGCAAAAAAAAACGATATAAATCTTAGTACATACAATATAAATACGATTATAATTAATTATACACCATTTATATACTAGTGAATGTAACTATTTTCGACCATTAGGCCTGAATTACATAAATTTAACACGAAATATCTCAAATATGACGCGAATCCTCCATGATATATTGGTTATCAATTCTAAATATATGTATCAAGTTTACTATAAATTTTTGGACATTGTGTTGGTAGGGCTATTATAAGCAGTGGTTTCACATATTTTGGGGCAATGTTACTTGGACATAATTTAGGGATCTAATTAATTGCAGTTGTTAGTTAATTAGCTCTTCGGGTTAAGCCCCAGATTATATCTAAATAGAATTGTTTCAAAATATGTCAAACCATTGCTTATTGCAATCTTACCGACACAATGTCCAAAAAGTTAGAGAATAAATTAGAACTATCATTACAGGTATGAAGTTCCCTCTCAAGTTTATCCTAGGGAGTTGAATCGACCAGTTTATTGGTAGCGGTCGATCAATAACTAGGAAGTACAAAAACTTCGTTAGAGGTCGAAGTGGCGGTGTCGGACCCTCTCTCTCATTCATTTTCCTGTTCCTTGTTAGGTATAATCTATTATACATTAACCCACTATCCAATTTGGTATTAGCCCTTTAATTATAACATATTAACCCACTATCTAATATGATATTAGTTAATTACCCAATTATAAGAAATTAACAAATTGTTCAATGTTTATTAGGTCATATTATTAATGTTTTTATATAATATTATTTTAATTAATCATATCCTTATCATACCCGTATTATATATTATAAAACTTTATAATATTTTCATTTTCGTATTATATCAAATACGAAATCCGTATTCATATCCGTACTTCTTATTGAAAAAAAAAACTTGATAACATTGCTCATTCATGTAATATCTTGCTCATTAAAGCTAAAGAATTTAGGTAGAGTGATATTAGATTATGTTAGGCCGCTTAGCTAGAAACTTAAATTTCAAGTCAAGTAATCATGACAGAACATGTGAACTTATGGAGATTTGATTGCCATTAGAGACATTATTATAAGATTTGGACTTATGTTCTTTAAAGACGTTTGATTAGCACCGTCACTTAAGGAAAGTACCCCAATTATCATTAGAAATTATTATTTTAAATATATATTGACAATAGTAATGTTCGTTACAATTCGAGTACCGTAATTATTGATATTATTAATGCTTTGAATGATACGTAGTTGGATCGGGCGTTACAAGTACTTTCATGTGTTTTAATTTCTCTAGCAGACAATATTCAAATTCATTATATATTGCCCACTAAATGTAATTCGTTTGTCTCTTTAACTCAATTGAACATCACCTCACAAAACATATATATAAAAGTAATCTCGATCTTGGAATTTGAACTTTTTTCAACCCAATCATAGATGAATTCTTACCTTACACTAGCTCAAGTTGCAACGGTCGTAAATAGGTTTGAACTCATAACCACCGGAAGAAGGTGAATTTTTTCAGTGCTATGCACGTGTGCATGAAAGGAAAAAAAGATTAATCAGATGATGCTGAAGAAGTAGATGAATGTTTAGCAAGATTAGTTTTATTAAGAAACAAGATGACGACTATATATGGATATGGAGGGTGAAAAACATTTAATAGAGTTTTTAATTGTAGGAGAAATATTTTTTTGAATGTAATTACTATTTTCAAATAATTACGGCGGGATCCCTAAAGACAGAGTTATTGTATCTCATTAATATTTTAATTGTCCTCAATGTAATAATATTTTAAAAAATCAAAAAATATCTCCATAAGTAGAATTTGAATGTGATGTTATTAATATTGTCTAAAAAAAGGATTAAGAAAAAATAAATATAATAATTATGAAAAGAAAACAAAGATTACTTATACAAGTTTACAATGACCAAAAAAAAAAAAACTAACTGCTTGCTTTAAACTTTTTAAATTGTTTTAAGTACCTATTTTTTGGATTTGACATAATTATTACAAAAAAATTCTTATGAAAGTCGAACTTAAATATAGTTTTCTTTGTAAATTTTAAATAATTGTCTTACCCTTTTTTTAGTCTTTTTGGTAGGTCAAAAAAATATAAGGGACAACCAGATGTGAAATCCACATGACAATAGCAATTCTTACTCCTCTTTTTTTTTTTTGTAGAGGTTTAGACGAGAATAACAGGAAGACATTTTTAAAGATGATGTAAATCATACTAGAGAGTAAATATTGGATATAACCGTTACATCATTTTAATAATGCTGACATGATATAACTATTCAATAAGAAAAAAATAAAATAAAATATGACCCACCTTCCTATCACATAGATGATTATCTATGACATAATTGGATAGTTCTCAAATAGAGATGATATTTGCTAGATTTTTAAAAATAAATAAAGCCTTTTTTTATTCTAGAATAGAATAGGATACAAATAAGAGTCCAATTACTCTCTTCCATCGAAAATAAAACATAATAATATTATTGAATATATAAGTAAAAATTCATTCAATAAACATCCTTGATTTCATAGAAATTGAGGGCAATAGAATTTTTTGGGTTATGAATTTTAATATGGTCTATTTATTAATTTGTTTATCTATTAATAAATTATTAAATCACGTGACGCGACTGAATACACCTATTATATTTTAAGGGGAATGTTCTGAAAACCATGAGGATTCACCCCCCCAACGCCGTCCCGTCTTGGGAAAATTGAGAGAGAGAGTGAGTGCTTGTGTACGTGCGTGTGTTTTGAAGGGACAAAATAGTTGTGTATTTGTTGCTGACAGAGAGACGAGAGAGAGAGAGAGGGAGAGTGCGTGTGTATGTGTGTGTGTTTTGGAGGGACAGAATAGTTGTGTATTTGTTGTTGAGAGAGAGAGAGAGAGAGAGAGAGAGAGAGGGATGAAGAATTTGTTTGGGTGTCCATGGACGATGAGTGGGCTGGTACTGAGAATAGGACAGTGTATATTTGCTGCTGCTTCTATTGGGGTCATGGCCACTGCTTCTGGTTTCTCTACCACCTCTGCCTTCTGGTACCTCTCTCTCTCATTTATTTATTTTATTTGTTCTATTTACTGCTGCAAACATGTATTTTGTTTTTTATTTGTTTATTGGTCTGCCTACACAGATTTACCGCCGATATATCTTTCATATCTGGGTGTTTGGGTTCTTATTCTTTATTATAAGTGAGTGATTGGCTTTACCCTTTTGGCTTATTAGCTTGAAACAAATCACATTTCCTCTTCTTTGAATGGTGCTTTTGGATTTGTTTTAGTTTTGACATTTTATTTTTAAAAAAAACCAAAAGCTTTCACATTTGGTATCCACCATGAGATAATGTTGCTGAATTTGAGTCTGTTAGAGTGATTTCGATTCTCTTCACAGCATAAAACCAAATATGGTGATGCATCGTGATGGAATTAGCCATAGTTAAAGCGAAAGTATGGCTAATTCCATCACGATGCATTAACTATGGTTAAAGCAAAAAAGTAGTCACTTTCCTCTTTTTATGACTAGTTCGTTTCAGATTGCTTTATTCCTCGAATTTGTGTAATTCTTTTTCAACCCTTATACACCAATTACAATTGAAGATCCAGGAATTTTTTGGAATTGACAAAAAAAAAAACCTTGTACTACAGAGGAAAAAGTTAGAAAGACAGTTATAAGTATAGTGTTGGTGCGTGCAGCGCGCCACTAAGCTCTAAGCAAAGTGGGAAAATGAATTTTGACAGGGAGAAGTATGTGTACAGGACAGGTTTGAGTGATGGGTTCCGAATATTTAGTTGGAAACATGTGCTTTTCAAGGGATTCATTTCTTTTCAGATGTCTGCAACCTCTTACACTTAATTGCACTTTGTAAGTTGAGATGTTTTATTGTATCTCTTTCTTCTTAGTGTTGCTATGGCACAAACAAATGCCTAGGTCCTTAAACTGCTTTATTGAAATTTATAACCACCACAATGAGTTTTCATGTAGAATTACCTATAATGTTCCTATTAAGTTCACTTATTCTGCTAGTAAATCTTGTCCCTAGTGACATTCTTCTTCAGAAACAATCAAGGCATCTAGACCCTTGTTCCTGATTTCCTGAAGAGTGTTAGCTTCCCTCAAAGTACTGATAAAGTGTTAGAATGACTTATCTTAGAATTTGTGCAGTATGATATCATACCTTCTTTTTTTGAGGTTATATCCTTGATTTGTTTTCTTTATCACTGATTCTCGTAGCTCTTTTCAAAGCGATTATGGCCTTCTAACTCAATTTTCTGTCTTTACCTGGTCGTAATGCTGGAAAATTAAAATTATTTGTGAGCCAAGAAAAACTCTGCTTTGCATGTTCATATGATTTGGTGCTTGTTCAAAGGGGAGAGAGAGGGAGAGAGAGAGAGAGAGGCTGTACACTCCTGTGTTTTTACCTTGTAGGACCTTGAGCTATTGCTGGTCATTTGATGTTCTATGCTTTCGAATTTGTAGGGATCATCTTCTTTTTCGTTTTTCTCTCTCAGAGTGTCTTCTTTTTTGTCTATCAATATGTAGCTCCTATACCAAATTCCGTGTTCTGATTGCCATACACCTCTTGCTTCCAGCTATTTAATTGCATCAATGGGGCTTCAGATTTTGTGGAGTTTTGGACTTGCCTATGTTGAGATTCATGCTTTGAGGTTAAAGAGCGACCTGACAGATCATGCATTTCTCAGCCTGTTTATACTTGTTGGCGATTGGGTAAGTCATTCTTCTCTTAAGCTTCAATTACTCATAGTGTAATAAGCACATGCTGGAGCATAATGCCATTACCACAATAAGGACAAGACTGATGCAGAATCAACACTGCTACCTACTAGAGAAGCTAAAATGACTATTGTGAATGCAGATGCTTGCCCCATTATCTTGTGCACCCATGTTGCTCCCATGCTCATTACCTTTCTGATAGGGGTGAATAAGAATTGGATGAAGCTTGAACTAAAGATTAGGGTTTCAATAATTCTTTTAGTGCTTTTTTATAAATTCCATGTCCTAGGTTGTATTTATTTAAACAAATAAATTTATTTGATTAGGAGTGTTTCAGTAATTTTAGTAGTGTTTGGGTTTAATTAGGAAAATTATTTAGGTTTTAGTTAGAGACTAGGCTACACAAAATGATAAAGCCTCTCAATTTCCATTGGAGTGACTTCTATTCAGAATTTGGTTGATGTGTTTTTTTGGACCTAATACTTGCAAGAGATAGGTAAATCTCTTCTTTCTTCTTCTTCTTCGAATTTCTGTTCTTCTTCCCTTTCTCTATTTGCATCCCTCCCCTCTCTTGTGTCCGCCAGATTGCTGCAAATCACTCTGCAACTCTTTTATTCTTTTTGTTTATTTGGCCTCTTCCCTTTCGTAACATATTATTCTTATGGGTGGGAAAGGAGATTTAAGGGGAGGGAATAGCCCCACCTATTCTTATTCCTAAATCACACACCTTTCAACTTTTCAAGAAACTTTTACAATGCCAACTGAAATTTCCAAATGACTGGGAATTTGCTCTTGAGGAGAACCCATGGATAAATTGATGAAGCCTGGTGAAAATGATAAACTTGGCATTACGATCATTTGGCTACAAGAAAATTCCTGAAAACTTGAGAGTGTGCATTTTATTAGTTGAAAACTTCAAAAGGGTTTATTATATGAGAAAGGAAGGGCTATTTCCACCAGCCAAAATAGCTAGTAGTTCCACTGACTTATACATGAGAAAGGAATGGAAAAAAAGGCAATGGAGGGCTTTTGAAGAAGACATTTGACTGTTACCAAAGCATACTATTAAGATGAATCAATGAAATTTCTTACAAGATAAATTAATCTCTCAAAAGATGGCATGCTTATTGTTCTGATATTTTTCTAGGATTTTATGTTCATCGTCTTGAATTGCCATGTTTAGCTTGCTAAATTTTGCTCGGATGTTCCAGATATTCTGCTAACAGGCTTGTTACCTCTCTTCTCATGCTTCTATACATTGTATACAAAAATTAATGGTTTCATTATGGTTCTGATTCTTGGAGCTGGTTCTGATTCTTTTTATCTGAAATGAGATTCTTGTCTAGTGTGTGCCATTCTTTCGACGTGAATTTAGCCAATGGTTATGCTGACATTTATTTTCTAATGTAGGTGACAGCTACTCTATCATTTGCAGCTGTGTGCTCGTCGGCTGGGGTAGTGATTCTGTTTATGAGGGACACAAATATTTGCAGAATAGAGACCAGACTCTCCTGCTACATGTTCCTAATTTCCATAGCTTTGGCTTTCGGTGCATGGCTCCTCCTTGCCATATCTTCTCATGTCATGTTTTGGTTTTGTTGCCGTTATTTGAATGATTAGTTAAGTACTAGTTCTCCCACAAAGAGAAGCTTTCGTCACCAGCAAATAAGTGAGCCGAGGCAGAAAAGGAGTCTCAGGAAAGGCAAAAAAGTTGTGCTCAACTGAGGTTCGGCCTACTCTGAAACTCTCGCTTATCAAACCACCAATACACACACAACACATTATTCCCTCACAATGTAAATATTGTTGTTTCTAAAGCATATTCTATTTTTATAGGAAATTTGGAATTCTTTTCCACCTCTCATTAGCATCTTTTTGGGGTCATGTTTGGAGATTCATATTATGCTTCATTTTCTGCTGCATTCTAGCCCTTTTTCCTTTGATTTCATGATTTTATAAACCGATAGTAATAAATGAAAGTCAAGTACAGTCCATGATCTAATTCAGATGCCTAAACTGTTGCTAAGAAATATTTTAGTGTAATTTATTATGCTTCTACATCTACATGTCTGATATATAGAAAGAGTTGTCCAATGCACAAAGCTCCTGTCACTGCAGATTTTGGATGGGTGAGATGTATCCTCGACTTGAACCCATTGTCTTCAGGTCACAATAAAGCAACAATATGGTTCTAGTCGGTCAAATTAGTGCTCTTGTGAGTAGGCTTGCCAATGTCTAATCCAAATTCGATTAGTTGGATGTGGATTAATATTTTTTTACTGATAATTTGAATCCGAATTCACTATCTTATATTTCACGAATTCGAATTTTGATATGCCTATATTCAATCCAATTCAAATTATTTATATATTTTTATAACTTAAAATTTATGTGTAATTTGTTAAATTTTAGTTAATTAAGTTATTCGAATCGAATTTAGATTGTTAAAAGATTCAAATATGACCATGCAAATAAAATTTGTCGGATTATTGGATCGAATTTTCAAAAATCTGATTAGGGTCGGTCAAAATTCTAATTCAAACCCAATCCATTGACAGGCCTCCCAGTAAGACCGACCAATTCCGTCATCTCTTCCCTAAGACTACAAGAAGAGATTAGTAATTAGCTTTAACCCCCATAAGACTACAAGAGGAGATTAGTAATTAGCTTTAACCCCCATTTAAAAGAGATGATTCTTATAGCCGAACTCCAAAATTACAATCGATAATTGACTCAAAACCAGCTTTCTCCGGCGACAATTTATTGACAATAAGATTACACATTCCAAACCCAGTGGTCAGTCTCCAGACAATGACCTTTCAGCACTATGACTCATATTACTTCAGACTAGTCTGAGAAGGTAAGTCCCAAAATTTATCAAGTAGTTCTAAATTAGCCGAACACTTCTTAGTTGTCTTAATGTATAGAACTCGAAGTCTCAAACTATGTGTTTATTTAAAGACAATATGGAATATGATTGGTGACTGGGATAACTATGTGGAGAAGGTGGGTTATACAGTTGGGTGTTTCATGTCATTTCTTCATAACAATTACAGTGCCTCCGGCATCACTCTATTCGTGCTTCTGGGTAGACCATTTTGAGAGACCGGCAGATTTTGAAGAATTCATGTTTTATACTTTTAATTTGTTTGTAAATATTTTGGACTGTTATGGAAACTTCCATCAAATAATCAAAAAAAACTTGGGTTTAGGCCTCATATCATATTTAAAGAAGGCCCCAAATTGTTAGATATCATACATAATCCATATAAAAAATTAAATTCATAAATACTTTAAACCCTACAAAAAGGTCTTATAAAAATACAAGTCCAATAAAAAAAAATTTAGAAAAAATTTTATCCACACCTTCTCTAGTTAGGTCTGAATTCTGTCAATATGTAAAGTAACAATTTGATTATATATTTTTTGAAAATGTGAAAATTATCCTTTGTTATGTAAATAGACTAAAATACCCTCAACACTTTTCCCATTACATACAAGAAAAATTTCATCTACATCCCCTGTAGTTAAGTCTAAATTTAATGACACCCCTTCCCGATTCTAAAACTTCACTGCATATCCTTCTAATTATACTTTCAAATCAATGACATCTCTTTAACGGTAACTTTTGCCTCTACCAGTAGATAAAATAATGATTTGACTAAATATTTTGTGAAAATGACAAAATTACCTTTTGCTATATACTATTATTTATGTTCTAGCCAACTAGTAAGCTTGATTTTTATCATCATATTATCTCAATGAATTTTTATCATTTTAAAATGTTGCATGATAATGTTCTTATAATATTAGTGATCATATTATCACTTATTTGGTTACGTAATTGAATTTTTATATTTTTTATAGTTAAAAATAAATTTTCTATAATAAAAATTACAATCGATCAAGTCAATGTCAAAATTCTATCCATTTCTAACTTCTCTGCTATCGTCTGCCTCCACAATATCACGGACCGTTCTTCGCACGTCATTTTTCATATATAAAATTTAAATACTAATAAAATTTAATATTAATTAAATAAATTTGATGCTAATTTGAAACTTTCCATGAATCTGTTCTCCTCTGACATTGTCAGATTTCACCTATATAAATAACATTACAGGCCAGACCAACCAACCTATAAGCATAAGAAGAAAACAAATCCAACCATAACAGACAACCAAATCGCAACTACATTTGTGGAATGGCTCTCAACATTCCTCCAACGAAGCACTTAAAATCATCAAAAAGACATGTCTCAAAGCTCAAAAACGACGAAATGTCTCCTAAAAAAAAAAACACCAATCAATTGTAGTTTTGTATACAATTCTGAACAAAGCACGCACATTAGGAATGCAATTAGTGGTAGAATTTTACCTCGGATCACAACAGATGATTGACGTCGTGGTGGACTGAGTTAAGGGCCGAGTCGAAAATGGCGCAGGCGCTTCACCGTGTAGTGTGTGTGTGCGCGCGCGCACAGGTGTGTATATATGGAGAAGACGACCACCGACGAAAAGACCCGGTGGATTTCAATAATGAATTGGAGTTGGGTTTAAAAAATTAAAAGAAATGTTATTTTAACTTAATTTATTAATTTTAATTAATAACATTTAGTCATTTGATAGTGGATTTTAATTAATAATGAGTTTATTGTTAATTTAATAATAAAAAAAAATAATTAGTAATAAGCGAGGGTTTTTTTTAATTATTTATTAGTAATTGGAGAAGAGTCTAGCCCGAAATAAACAATACTACATTGGAAGGATTTGATCCTTTCACTCGGTCACCCCTATAAATAAATCCACAAGTCCTTTTACACATACCAACCAACTTTTGATCCAATAGTATTTCTTACACTTTATTTTTTTGAAATCAAGAATTCATGTTCTCCTCCCCTCTCCCTCCCAAAAAAAAAAAACATATTAAAAGGTTTTTTTTTTTTAAACTAGCACATATTGCAAGTTGGGAAAACAACAAAGAAACCACTAGGAATCTATGGTGATAAACTAAGAATGAGGACATTCTAGAGGCATATTCTTTGTTACGGCCTATTTTGGTCAACACAAAATTGGAATGAGGGGTGATAATTTTTGACCCGACTCAAACTTGTCATAAAATTTGTGGGTTACAATTAACTAGATCTCAACACGGATTTAAAAATGACTTGAACTGTTGACGTAAATAATAAACATATCGGATTAATTTAAACACTAATTGCTTGCTTTTATCGCAACAAACTCATTTAATTGGTATTTTATGAAAAAAGTATTTTGTTTTTATTTCTTAATTAGCGTTTTTAGAAATCCTATAGTAGATGAGTTTTTTTTTAACATGAGTTTGTGTGCATAAAGAAGAAGAAATTTTTTAGTCTACAGTGATCCTTTTTTTGTAAATATATATATCTTTAGGGATCCTATAAATGGAAGAGGTTTTGGTAGAGAGAAAATGGTCTCGAGGATTGGAATTTTGCTTAAAGAATTACGCAATAAAAAGACAAGTGTTAATTATATTTTGTGCCCCCTAATTATATCTTTTATTGTAATTAGTTCTCTATAGTTTCAAATATAGCCAATTTGTCCCCTCCAAGTTTCAAGCATATTAAATTGATTGACAATAGTGATTGAAATATGAAAGTATCATCATGCTCTCTATTTTGTATATTATTTTTTATATTTTTTTTCTTGAGATACCAATTTTTTTAATTTTGTTTTGGGAGGGGGACGGGAGAGGTGACTTTAACCCTTGACCTCAAAGAAAACAAATTTTTTTAAAAATAAAAAGTACCATTGAATCAAATACCATTGGTTAAGATATCAATTCTATCCCTAAAAATATGTATGCTCATCCCAACACCAATACACTGCACAACACCATGTTTGTCTTTACTTTCACTTTTGCCTCCACCTCCACCTCCGCCAAATACCAACGCATACATGTGCACACACGCACACTTTCTCTCTCTTTTTAGTGGTAATTGTGTATTTTTAGCAAATAAAGATTACATGAATTTTGTATGTCTGACTTGTGTCATTTTTATGATTTAATATTAACTGTTGGAATTAATTACAAAATAATCAAATTTAAAAGAGAATATTTATTGAAATTAAAATTGGAAGTGGTGACCGAGAAATTACCCAAAATTGAAAGGTGTATTTTTTAATGAACCCAAAAGATAAACAAGAAAAGTTAGTAACAATACATTTTGACACAATTAATTAAGAAAAAAAAAACTCAAAATTATATGGTCCAAATTCAACACGACTCGATTGTACCTCAAACCGAAACCTAATTGGTCACGCATGATTGACCTTGCTTTTGGACTTTCTCATATATAAAGAGAAACTCGGAGCATATGCACAATTTGCCTTGCCAAGGTTAACCCAACAATGCAAATGGATTTGGATTTAGATTAGCTTTTGGACATTCTATTTGGACTCCTTGCACGGCCCAGATCTTCATAAGCCAAAAACTCTTGGCAACCTCAACTGATGGGCCAAATTTTTTTGTTAAAGCCTTAAAACTTTTTGGGCTGGCCTAGGGTTCCATTTTGCACCAAATTGATATGAGCTGCTAGATTAGTAAACTCCATTGTCATCCAATGATTCACATCGATTTGGTGCACATAGTATTTTCATTTTCGGGTTTTCGGCATTTTACACCTTAAAATTTTTTTAATATTTTTATGTTATATTTTTAAATATTATATTTTTTATATTATATTTTCAATATGACATTTCTATTAATTTTTTCATCGGTATCAATAAATTGATTTTTGATAAAAAAAATAATATAAACTAATAGAAATGTGATATTATAATATTTTTGATATATTAAGGATTGAGTGTGTAATTCAGTATAAAGTAATTGGGATTTATAAACCGACGTCGTATTGGGAATCAAATCACAACCATATCTCTCATCTGTTTCAACACAAATCACTCCTCAAAAGCCTCTTGCCGCACACACACACACCAAAACCCTAATTCCCATCGTCTCCGAACTCCTCACAGCTCAATCACCAGCCATGGTGGTGGATCGCCCGGGCAAGCTACGATGGGGAGAGTTAGAAGAAGACGACGGCGAGGACTTCAACTTCCTTCTCCCACCGAAGCATGTCATCGGACCCGACGAGAATGGAATAAAAAGAGTGATAGAGTACAAATTCAACGATGAGGGCAACAAAGTCAAGATTACCACCATCACCCGGGTCCGAAAGCTCGCCAAGGCCCGGCTTAGCAAACGGGCCATCGAGCGTCGGGCATGGCCGAAATTCGGCGATGCGGTCCATGAGGATGTTGGGAGTAGGCTCACCATGGTTTCCACTGAGGAGATCTTGATTGAAAGACCTAGGGCCCCTGGTTTGTTTCTCTCTCTGGGTTTTTGTCTGTTGTTTAAATTGTGAAATATTTTATCTTTGTGGTGTTTTTGGATATGGATGTGCTTCTAATTTGATAAAGGTTGAATTTCTAGTTCCGGGTAATGTCTAATGCTTGAACAGATTGAAGGTTATTTCTGGAGTTTGTGGATATTTGTGTGATTAAAATTTGATAAAAGCTTGAATTTTTTGTTTTGGGTGATGCCTGGTGTTTGAACAGTTTTAAGGTTCTATCCAAGTGAAGGTTGGTCAGAGTTAGGAAGCTCTATTTGGTTAAATTGTTAGGCCATTCAAATTTAAAAAAGGGTAAAATATGGCTATTAGATCTTTAAAGAAGGGGTGACATCTCACCATTAAAGATTTGGGTATGGAATTGACTCTCTCTTGATTTGAGGAAAAAAATGAGTCTCTCATGATTTGATATGGCTTTTTGGGTATAGAATTGAATAATTTTTTTAAGAGTTTTATATCCAAATGTAAATTGGGCTTAAAAAAGGGTAATGATTGAAATTTGAAGGTGCTATTAGCCTTACTTTTGAAAGTTATTCATATATTTGTGGAGATTTTAGCCAAGTCCCCTGATCCAAAGACTTTTTTGTTGGATGCTGCAACTATGGTTTGTTGTTCTGTTACCAGTGAACTTAAGAGGTTAAGGAAAAAGTTTGACTACAAGCAGCCGCCGTCTTCTTTGATCTTCCTTGCCCTCATAGCACTGTGACTATAACCATATGCCTCCATACTATAACCTTCTTGTTCTGTGCTGCACAGGCAAAATAAGCCCATCAAATTCCTCCTTTCTTTTCCCTAGTTCTCTAATTTTTGTCTTACCTTTTTGTGTGCAGATTTATTTTAACTAATCCTTTCTGTCAAGGGAAAAAATGTAACTAATCCCTCATCTTTAGTTATGCTGCATTAGGTAACAAAAAATTAAGTGCCTGGAGTTGGAATGGTATAAAAACTGTAGAAAATAGTGAATTACTTTTGCATCAAACAATTTCTTGTTCAAACTATTTGAGCTGTGATACCTCACCTGAGAAGACATAAGTTTACTTAGGCTCTTCTCCCAAGGAAGGAATTGGCATCAGTTTTTGCCTGAACTGGTAGGCCAATATGCAGTTACCCAAGTACGTTATTTGGTCGTTTGACCTTCTTTTCTATATTTTTTTACTCACCTAGCCATTTGCTGGTAATATATGATGTATCTGGACCTTTTTCAAGTTAGAAGATATTGATATGTCAAGACCTCTTCCCAAATTGTTTGTTTCAAAATAGCTATTGTATGCAACATAAATTGGTTAGAATTATGCATCTGTAGGTTGCAACTTCTATGTATCGTGTTTCATTGGATACATTAATCTTTCTTTTTTTATGACTTGCCAAATTCAGTACGTCAAGTTTCTTTGATTTGTGTTGTGTAACATGTCCATTGCTGCCTACGTGCTGTTCACTAGAGCATGCAACACCTTTTCAAGCTTTGTGTCTACACGAATAAATAAAATATAATTGGTGATGTGTGGCAACAGACTATATTGTTTGTATAATAAATATAACTAATGATGTTTCATTGCATTTTGTGATATTGTTCTCGCACATCCCAGTGGCTGTGAAATTACCTTTCTATGCACTATGACACTAGGTGCTAATACAACAATGACCTTCAGCTTATGGAGTATTGCTTTTCTCCTGTGTTGGATCTAATATCTTTGTGTGGACCATTATGCAAATTCTGTTTGTAAACCCCCCCCCCCCCCCCCCCAAAAAAAAAAAAAAAGAAAGCACCAACTCACATACAAAAGAAAAAAAAAAAAAAAGTAAACTTGTGTCCATCGATGATGATCGGTCTTTTGTTTTGGTAAGACTGTTCCTTCTGCTTTGACAGTTAACTTCTGTTTTGTTTTGAAATAAGTTGAAAATTGTAGTGTTTCTTATTTATCCTTCTGATGGTATTTTGTTTTTCGTTTGTGGGAGTCTCTCTTTGGTTTGAATTTTAAATGTCAGCCAATGATATATGTACCGTGTACCAAACTTCTGTTGGTTGGCCCAACCTCCTAGGTTTTTAACATTCAATTGTGCATCCATTTCTGTTGACACATGTTTGCACCTTCACTGAGATTTTGGTTGTTCTTCTGCCAACAGGTTCAAAACCAGAAGAAAGCAAAGTAGCTGGAGATTCCTTGGCTCAGCTTAGCAAAGGAGGTGCTGTTCTCATGGTTTGCCGAACTTGTGGCAAGAAAGGTGACCACTGGTCAGCTAGATGCCCTTATAAGGATCTTGCCCAACCAACTGAATCCTTCATTGATAAACCTCCTACCTCCGAGACAAACATGGCTTCTGGCACCACCAAGGGGGCATATGTCCCTCCAAGCATGAGAGCAGGTGCAGAAAGGCCTGCCGGTTCAGATATGAGGCGCAGGAATGAAGAGAACTCGGTTCGTGTCACTAATCTTTCAGAAGACACCCGGGAGCCAGACTTACTGGAGCTGTTCCGCACATTTGGCGCTGTGAGTCGTGTCTATGTGGCTATCGATCAAAAGACTGGTGTGAGTAGAGGTTTTGGTTTTGTCAATTTTGTAAACAAGGAAGATGCTGAGAGGGCAATCAATAAGCTCAATGGATATGGGTATGACAATCTCATCCTGCGGGTAGAGTGGGCCACACCTAGAGCAACCTAGGAGATTATAATCTCTACTTCATTTGGCTGTCTGAATTTTTTCTCAGAATTGCATTGCATAGTCAGCTGATAAGCATAAGATTTTGCTTCAGTTTTCCTGTTCCAGAACGTTTCTCTTCGATAGCTTTACAAGGTTTATCATCATTATTGATATTTAGTATTGGAGAACAAGATCTGCACTAATGTTATTGACAGTATTCGTCTTTTTTTATAATGAGGAGTTTGTTGCTGTTGAATTATGTATACTGTGAGTTGCATGTTACTGTATTATTGTTTTTTCCTTGTTTTTTTGATGTGCTCTCCGTTCTCGACTAATTCTCCATACCAGATTTTCTTCCATTCCTCAATTCTGGATCACCCATTTGGATACAATGGTGGGTATCATTGCTATTCATATTCATGGTAGATTATCTAAATTTGAGGAAATTAAGGGAATTAGAATTGGATATAAGCCAAGTCTCCCACATGGATGTTCTTATGAAGAAGGTATGGAAATGGCTATTGCAGTTCTTTGTAGTCTGTAAAGAATTAGAAGCTTGGATTAACTAGTCAGTTATGCTTAATCTTTCATCTTGGTATAGCAAGCCAAGGTACCTATTTGTTGCTCATCGAAAAGTCTACCTTTGATTGAATCAATATATCGTTCTCTCTTTGCTGCCACAGAGAGCGATGGTCCATCTCTTTCTTAAACAGCTCTTGCTCATTCATTTCATTGAACCTGGAAAGACAAGCGGGGCAATCAGTGTGATCAAGCTGAGTTATCATGCTTTTTCCGGCTTTGCCCTTAAACCAAATGGTTTTCTCCAGAGTTTTTTTTTTCTAAGCATGGGCGAGAGATTCGGGAACATCTACACCTCAAATGCAAAACAACAAACAGCCATTTGTATCTACAAAAGCACCAAAACAAGAACAGGTTCATGTTGATGAATAAAAGAGACATAACTCAAGGGCCTAGACTCACACTGCTAAAAAGTGATTAACTTAAAATAAACTCGGAACTCCACAACTAGCTATTCACCTGCCACCTTAGCTGTTGCAATGGTAATGATATACTCAATCTCCTCAGTTACCTCTTTCATGGAAGGCCGGTTTTGTCTGCGTTCCTCCAAGCACCCGACTGCCAGAAAGCCCAATGCCTTCATAGTCTCCAACTCCAAGCTGCTGGCACCCTCCTTCAGCATCGGATCAATGGCATCCATCAACTTCTCCTCCTCCACCATCCTCTGCATGAAGACTGCCAAGTTCACATCATCCGGTGGTCTATTAAAATCAATCGCCTTCTGAGATGTCAACAGCTCCAACAACACTACTCCGAAGCTGTAAACATCACTTTTATCAGTTAACTGGTAGTTCCTGTAATACTCGGGGTCCAGGTATCCAAGCGTACCCTGAGCACAGGTTGATATGTGACTCATGTCTGTATGAGCCAACCGAGACAACCCAAAATCTGAAACTTTTGCATTCAGCTTCTCATCCAGCAAAATGTTGCTTGACTTCACATCACGGTGATAGATTGCAGGAACTGCTGAGAAATGGAGGTAAGCGAGTCCCTCAGCAGTTGCACGAGCAATGTTTAGTCTGTGGTTCCATGTAAGTATACCCCGATTGACACCTTTTAAGTGATCGAGGAGAGTTCCATTCTGAATGTACTCATAGACCAACAATGGTTGCTCAAGCTCCACACAACAGCCAAGGAGGTGCACGAGGCTCTTGTGATTGACTTGGCACAGGATTCGGACCTCGTTGAGGACTTGGTCAGTGCCTTTGGTGTTACCAACCTTAGCACATTTGACAGCAACAATTGTACCATCTTCAAGTACACCTTTGTAGACTTCACCATATCCTCCGGTACCAAGAAGACGGTCTCTGGAGAAGTTGTTTGTTGCTTTCTTGATATCTTTACCGGTGAAGATTTTTGCTGTTCTACCACCACCAGCATTGAGAATCTCTTCACGCTCTCGGGCAAGGCGCTCTTTTGCTTCTTTGATGAGCCTGTGCCGTCTGTAGAGTAGAAATCCAATTGTGGCCACAACAAGTGCTGCTCCAAGGCCTGATGTCAAGCCTGTAAGTCTCAGACAAGTTAGTATAAACTTAAATTGGGTACAAATCATAGAGTAAAAGTGGACAATATGGAAACCATCTATCTTTGATAGGAACAAAACTCTAATATAGAGGCTTTACAAAAGGCTTGTCATTAATAGTATGATTCAGGTGAAGCAAACACGATAGTGAAGAGGGTAGTAATATACAGTAGTTCTCATCATACAACCATCATAACCTAGATCTTTTTCTCCTTTGATAGAAGCTTTCTCACATAATGGTAATATTATTCTGACCATTTTGAAATGATTTCTTGAGAATAATGATGTGCACATAACCTTGGTGAACCAGCACAATCATTGAATATATGATAAACTCGAAGGTAGTGCAGAAAAGTGTCAGCATTGTTATTTCTTGATATCAAGAAGTCCTCAACCACTCACCATTAATATGAAATTACTTTCTTTTTTTTTTGTGTTACAGCCTAAGCCAAAGAAAATGTTGCCCAAAAACCAATTGCTCAGAACCCTTTTGTCTACTTTTAGAAAGCACACGAGGAAAAATCAGTAAGTGGTGATAAAACAGGTTTTTATCATACTTTGGTCTTTCTTAATCATGGTTCAAGGTCGTGGTATGGATTATCGGTCACAAGTCGAGTCGTGTGAGACTTGAAATTTTTACGTATCACGTAATGATATTGTTTCAAAAGGTGCTAAGTTAGTTACGACTCATCCGACTCGTTTTAGTACCGCCAACATTGTGAACCAAGTTCTTAATTGTTATTATCACTTTGCTTTTGTTACTTTCTATTCGTTGCATTTTAAATGAAAAAAACAAATTTATACAATATATAAAGTAGGGTTAATATCATTTCTAGTCCTTAAAGTATGTATTTTTGTCAATTTAGTTCGCAATGTATCAATTATGTCAATTTTATTCTTGAAATATTCAATTCGTATCATTTTGGTCCTCATATAAACGGACCGTTAAGTTTTTTATAGAATGATCATGTATTAGACACGTGATAACTGTCTAAAAAAATGACACTTGACCACTTTCGTTAAAAAACTTAATGGTCTGTCTATATCAGCATCAAAATGACACAAATTGAATACTTTAAAAATCAAATTAACAAAATTAATATATTGAGGATTAAACTGACAAAAACTACATATTTTAAACATCAAAAATACTATTAATCCTATAAAATATATTTTACCAACTTTCTAAAAATAATTTGTAAAAGCATGTTGTGCAAATATAATTTTATATTTTTAACAAATGATAAAAGGATTAAAAAAAATAATGCAATTAATTGTCATAGCCAGCTAAGAACCAGCCAATGATATACTCCATACCAACCTGCAATAAGAGCTGTCTTGTTTGACCCACCTTCCCGCACATCTGCACGTCAAAAACCAACCGTTAAATATCATAATTTTAAACTAATATAAAAAATTATTATCTGAAAAAAACAGTTTTAAAACATGTATTTCAAAACATAGATGCAACCAATAATTTGATAAATAAATTTAAAGCTATAATTTATCTAATATTATAATTATCAATTTAAATTACACATTTATAAAAATACAGTAAAACGATCGAGACTAATCTAATCCTCATTAATTTTCATCTAACAATATGCAGTAAAAAAACAAATTCACCCAAAAATATCATCTTTTTTGTAGTGCACGTTCTCTAATATCAAAGAACTCATCAATGCACTTCTTAATGACCGCTAACTTCACTAATTCACATCTATTTTTTTTTTAATCTATTTTTACTTTAAATTATATAATTAAAAAAATAAATTATTATTTAAAATTTAAATATTATTGGATGACACCTTAGTTATTGCTAATATAATGTAAAAATACCGTCGACAAATGTTATCAAAATTTAATTTATTAACGTAATTTATTAATTATTAAATTAATTATAAATTATATATTAACCTAATAATTATAATAAAATTATATTATTATATCAGTAAAAATTTTAAATTTCCAATCCTCGTTTTATCACCAAAAAAAGAAGAAAAGTCACAAAACTTACTCTCAGCACACAGTCCGGCAATGGCGTCCCAATGAAACCCAGAGTTACAGAAACACCTCCTGACCCCACTATTAGAAACCGGATCCGGCCCACATGTAGACTTTGAATCACAATCGGCCTGGGTCCCACATACCGGCTCCGGCGGCGACACCCACTGCAACTCCACAGCCGGCTGACCCCACCTACTCACGGGTAACGAATAATCCAAGTTTACAAAACTCCGGTAGGCCTGACAACCCGAATCCCTAAGCCGAATCATGTACGACGTCGTTGACCCACCCGCCCTGAACGTACAACAAATCGGCGCGTTCTCACACGCGGCAGCGTCACTCGAATCGTTCGCGTAAGTATGGCAGAGACTCGCCGATGAACAGTTCAATGGAGAACTCAAGAGCAAGTTCGAACAGTTGAGGTAGAGGATAGTGTTACTGCTGGTGATATTGAAGGGTAACGAAGAGTTCATCTGAACGCCTTGGGTGGAGAAATCTGCTGTGACGCAGGTGTTGGGGAGGAAAGCTGAGGGTTGTATGGTGAGGCGTTGGGTTGAGGGGGTGATGGAGGTGATTGGGTAGGTGTTGTTGAGGGTGTCGAAGAAGAGGGTGGCGTTGGCAGAGCACCGGAGTTTGTATGACTGATCGCCGCAGTTTGGGGCGGTGCTGAGTGGGTATGGGACTGGGGTGGTGCCGCAGTCGGCGCAGCGGCTTGCAGCGGTGGCGCACCAGGCGCATGTTAGCAGCGACGCCGTGAAGAGGAGGAGATGACCAGAGGTGACAGCCATTGGAGAGAGAGAGAGAGAGTTTGGACACAATTTACTGACAAATATATTATCAGAGTGTTATTCCTACTCCACAAATTTTCGTTCTCACCTCATTAAATTATAAATTATAAAACTATTAAGTTCATCTTTTTTATACCTATTCCACTAGTAACTAAGTTCACTTAATTCTATATTCACCACATTAATAACAAAACTTTTCTCAATCTTCACCTTGTAGGTTTCTTTCTATACTTATCTCACATAGTTTATACACAAAATATATTAGATTCCACTATGGATTTCTTTCATGCAAATTACTTTAATGTTGCCCGTCCTATCTCTATCTTCTCTAATCTCATCATCAGAATAATACTCTGATTCCACTATATGCTTCTCTTTTTTCTTTTCTTA